AAAAATATCAAATTAACAACGGATATTTCGGTCAGGCCTGTGCAGGGCTACATGCTGAAAATCCGCAAAAGGGCTGAAATAAACTGAAAAAAAAATTGTGCTGGTTTTTATTGAACCCGGTAATGCGTTGAATTAAAACCAATCGGTGACGTGAAATAATAAGACTAAAAAGTCAATTCTCAAACGCAAAAAACTTAGAAAGTTATCAATACCTAGGTATTTAAAGTGTCGTTAAAAAGTACGGGGCAGTGCCTTTAAGCTCCTCGTTGTGTATTAAATCCAGCAATGAAACTAGTCGAACCTTCGTTGTTGTTTCTCATTTTTGTGATTTTCATTATTTGTCTTCTTGCGAAGTACCATTGGGACAGGCGGAAGTTGTATATTTTTGCAGCTAAGCTTGCGGGACCCAAGGCCTATCCTGTGGTGGGTAATGGGCATTTGTTTTGGTGCAAAAATGACGGTAAGTAAAATTTAATTATTAGGAAAATATTTAAATTTAGTATCTCATTAAATAGAGACGACAACCAGTTGTTGATAAAGTAGTATTAAAATAAAATATCAAGTAGAATTTTTTGCTTTAACTGTAATTCTGTTAAAAAAATACTTTTTTTCTTGAATTTGTTATTATTTTTCCTCCATGGAACACAGACCCCAACATTATTATTTAAAAAATGTTTAAAAATTAGCACACAAATTATACAGAACAAAAGACAGGAAGCTAAGAATTTTATTTGCTTCCAGCTTTCAGAAAAATAAAAATTGCTGAGTGACAACCTACTATGAAAATTCTCGTAGTGGTTTTCCATTTAAAAATATACTTAATAAATTTTGGCAGCTCAAAAACAAAATTTTTTAAAGATTTTATCTCCCAGGGAAGTAAAAATTTTATCTATATCTATCAAAATTACAATAAAAATAACTATTAGAGTGCTTTATTTATTATCCATCAGTTTTTTTTAAAGCTTGTAACCAAGTAATAGCAAAACTCGTTTAATAAAGTTAAAATTTTATTTTAAGTGGCAATAAAACATAAGTTGCTCTGTATATTATTCGAAAATCATTACTACTAGAATTAATCCAAATTTTGCTAAATATGTTTTAGTCCGTTAATATTTTATATTATTTTTTAATTTATTGTTAACTAAACGAACTATTTATGTAAGTAATTTAATTTAAAATGCTGAGTAAATGACCTAATAATCAATTTTTTTGCAATGAAAATTAGTATTAATTAACCATTTTTTAATAACAATAATAATGTATTAAAATTATAGAAAGCGTGTTGGGGTTAGCTCACTATCTCATTACACCTTTCTTAATTAAAACAAAAACACAATGAGTTACTTTTACTTCGGTTAAATAACCCGATTTTTGCTAATTTACTAAATTACCATTTTTTAACACTTGGATAATTGTTTTATGCAGGTGCTGCTTATTTATTACATAAATTATATAAATATAATTATATTAATTATAATTATATAATTATAATGAGTCAAGCATGTCGCAACAATTCTTTACTGCCAAGTTCAATAATAATGTGAAAGAAAAAACGTTTATTTTACAGAAGTTTTTACTAATATTCTCGCCGCTACGGCCCCCTTTCCGTCCCCAGTCCGGCTCTGGTTGGGCCCAAAATTGATGCTTTTTGTGAAAGATGCCAACCAACTCCAGGTACTTGACACAATCTTTCTTCAAAAATTAAAATAAATCCGGTTTTAGCTGATTTTGCAATCGACGAAAATCACAACAAAGTCGTTTGTTTACCGGTATCTTGAACCTTTTCTGGGGAAAGGACTTTTCACGTCCTCTGGCCCCAGACAGAAGAATCATCGCAAGTTGCTCCAACCCTTATTTTCACAAAAAATGATCGAAGGATACTGCCATTTGTTTCAAAAACATGCGAAAAAGTTTGTCGAGGATTTGAGAAAAAATGCAAATGGACCTGAATTTAACATTTCCACGGTCTTGCAATTTACGGCTTTTGAAGCTACGATGGGTACGAATTTTGCCTGCGGAACTTTTTTTACAGTTTGTTTCAGATTTATTGCTAGAAGATAAAAATACACATTCGTTTGATTACAATGAAATGCCCCCCTATATTAAGAAATTTTACGAAATTTTTTTTACTCGCGTTAGAACTTTTTGGTTACATATGGACTTATTTTTCAAACTAAGTTCTTACTATAGGGAACAGGCGAAATTGCAGAGCATGGCGACAACTGTTATAAATGAGGTAAATTGTGTAAAAATGGGGACAAAAATAAACAAGCAAGTTCTAGATTACGTCCACACATGTCCCAAAAATTATTGAAAAGATAAAAGCTGATAAAAAAATAGCCGATGCGGAGATGAGAGTTCCATCAATGTTGGAATCAATAACCGAAATGGTGATGGAGAATCCGGATTGTTTAACACCGCAAGATTGCACCGACCATTTGATGACTTTTATGGCAACAGTTGGTTTAAAAATTGTTATTACGACTTTTTATTTTTTATTTTTAGAGTCAAGATACCCAAAGTTCGRCTGTGGCTTTCACGTGCATGATGTTAGGAGCTTACCCTCACATTCAGGTAAATCTCAATTTTCCTTAACAGTTTGTTTAATTTTTTTTCAGGACCTTGTCGTTCAAGAATTGAGAGAAGTCATGGGCAAAAAAAACAGTCTTGAGCTAACTGAAGTTTCTCAACTCAAATATCTCGAAATGTGTCTCAAGGAAACCATGAGGCTGTTCCCTATAGGCCCTCTGATTTTCAGGGACACAACTGAAGACTTCCAATTCGGTAGAAAGTCAATTTTTGGGTTCCAAATTTCACGAAATGTTTCCAGATAAACTGGTGATTCCGGAAGGCGTGACTGTAATTCTGTCGATTTTTCACGCACACCGGAGCCCGGAACATTGGGAAAAACCCGATGAATTTTACCCGGAACATTTCGCACCGGAAGCGATGAGTAAAAGACATCCATATGCTTTTATCCCGTTTAGTGCAGGACCTCGCAGATGCATAGGTACAAAAAAATAATACAAACCAAAAAATTTAGTTTGTTTTTCAGCCCAACATTATTCCTACACTTACATGAAAATTTTACTTGCTACCATACTTCTTAATTACGAAATCGAGTGCCGATATAAGCCCCAAGATATTAAATTAATCATGGATATTTCAATCAGACCGCAAGAAGGATACATGATTAAATTAAAAAACAGGACAAACTGAAATTTATTTACAAAGTTAACAGTTTTTTATATTTAATATTAGGAGACTCTTTCACGCAGTTATTTATGTGTAGAGAACGGACTTTTGTAATGGTGGGATCTTTCAATAAATTATATTTATAATTTAATTTCGAACCACTTTTTGATTTGATTAAATCTTGTTTCGATTTTAGTTTTCCAATCACATTAACTAGGGATCTGTTAGCTCTGAATAGTTTTTCTCTGAGAAGAATTTTCGGAGTCAGATGAGTCTTTTTGTCACAAATTTTTGTATCACTGTGTTCATAAGAAATTTCTTCGTAGTCGGAATTTGGAGCATTTTCTTCTGTTTCTTCTTTAACTGATTGCAAGCACATTTCTGATTTCTGTGATTCCCTTGTGTTATAGATTGTATCAGTGATTGTACTTTCATCGTCTTCTTCTTCTGGTACTTGAATTTCCCGATCCACACGATTGTCACTTTGTGATAAAAAACTGGTTTGACAACCAAAATCGATTAATGTATTTTCCAAAAAATCTGATTCGTCACTTTCAACAATCGACGGCAATTTGCTGTTTAATATCACGAAACGTTCACATTTCTTCCTTTTAATCCTTTGCCAGTTCACAATTAAATAAAACAATAAGTAAAAATAAATCCTCTCGGCCTAAAATAAACAAGAGTTGGTTATTATCAAATTGAATTTGGACCAACTTTGTTAACAAATCCGGGTCTGTAAGGCCGAACAAACAAAGACGAGCTAAAATAAACAACAAGAGATGTAACACTCGTCTTATCGAGCTTATCACTGTATCGTCTGAGTGAAATCGTTCTGAAAAAATTCACCAGAGCGTAAATTAACGCAATGTGGGCCTGGGGGAGTCGATGAATTGCCCTGAAATTTTTGTTAATTTTTTTTTTTTAATTTTGACACAAACCAGGAAATTTCTAAATCTAACTGATAACTCGCTCTCATTTTGTGTTTTCGACACTGACCGGCCAAAAACTCCCAGTTAAATTTTCTCCCATTTGAGTATTTAGCAAACAAAGGTAACGGCAAAACACCCAAAAAGTGTCGAATTATCCAAAAAAAGGTCAAAGGGTGAATGGACTTCTCGTAGAGTTGGCCCGAAAGTAGGTTTTCTTTCAAGTTCAATCCTGTGTTTACAGGCTTTTCACGAATTCTACAATTCAAATTTTGCATTTAAGGGAACGATAATTCATACAACTGACTTGATAATGCGCGATAAGGGGAAAGGATTGTTATTTAGGGCAATTATTGTTTCATTAAACAGGTTTTTTAGTCTGGGGTGGATGCCACTTGGCGGGAATATGTCTTCCAAGGGTACCCCAAAAGCAAATCTAGAACAAAAATGAGCAAAAATTTAAAATCGTGAGAGGGCACCTTATGCAAAGTAAGTTTGAATCGTCCATTTCTGGAATTTTTAAGTCAGGTGCCAAATTTTGACACTTTAATTGACAAAAACTCGAATTCGGTTTTCAAATATTTATTTTTTTTTTAAAGCTTAATTACATTCGACTAATTGTAGAAATAGGGGAAGCACTCAGGGTAAATATTTCAGTGGCGCACTCCACGGCATCGTGAACTGTTGGAAACGTCCGAATTGAACTTTTATGGTTGATGAGACCACACTTGTGAATCATTTCATAAATTGGTTCTAAAATAAGAAATTTTTAACTGTTAAAAAAGCACATAAATTCTACCAGGGCAGGCGGCAATGTAAACAGGAATATCAATCTTCTGAAAACTTTCAGTAACAACCTGAAGCATTGAAGCCCCTGAAGGATCTAAATGACTCAAAGAGGAAAAATCTAAAATTAAACATTTCAGTTCACGATTGATTTTGCGTTGCAGTTTTGCAATTTTTTCATTCCGACTTTCAAATTCTTTAACATCGATCTGAAAATTAAATAAAGTTACTTGAAATTGAACAAATTTTAATTACTTCGTCCCCATATTTCGTCATTTTTTTCCGATATTCGAGCTCTTTTTGGGGATTTATCTCAACTAGGCGTAACAATTCACTCCTGAAAATATTTCTAGTTGCAAAATTAATCCCCCCACAGTACTGAAATATCTTGATTCCCGGAATTTCAACTGCCTGAAACYCGTTTTGAAAACTTGAGATTCATTTAGTGGAAAACTCACTCTTTTGTAACGATTTATGTTAATATAGAGATCAGTACTAGGGACTGATCCAAGTAAACAAGTGTAGGGCTTCAAACTAAGTACGAAAATTGTCGCTAGAGACATGACAACACCGGTCAAGAGCCCTATTTCAATACTGACAAAAACCACAGTCAGGAAAGTGGCCAACCAGACAAGGGCATCCATTTTGCTCATTTTCCAAAATCTAAACAACTGTTTAATTTGCCAAACCATTCCTTTGAGGGCCACTACGATAACACTCGCTAAAACACTCTAAAAACCAATCAAATCATTTCTAATTATTCACAAAGAACCTTCGGTAGTGGCTCAAAAAACGGTCCAATCCAGAGTAAAACAATCAGAAGGAGGAAACAGGAAACGAGTGATGCAATTTGGGTTTTTCCCCCAACCACTTGTTGAATCGTGGAGCGCGAAAGCGATGCTGTGAACGGCATACACGAGAAAAACGAACCGAAAATGTTGCCAACCCCTTGCGCTAAAAGTTCCTGATTTGCGTCCACTTCGTAATTGAGTTTTTGGGCGAAAATCAAAGCCATTGACAGTGTGATACTATACGAAACTATTGCTATAGTAAATCCGTCAAGTAGTACTGAAGCTAGTAAAGACATTGGGGGCGTAGTTGGGGCCGGGAGGCTGCGAAAYTGTGTCAAAACCGGGGATTTTTGATTCGTCAACATACCCACTTGGGATTTCACCGACTACTTTAATCGAGTAGATCGCTTCAAGGTTGCAATATCGAGACACTAAAGTCCCTAGCACGATTGCTATCAGTTCGATTGGAATCGGAAATGAGGATTTTTTCGCCACGAGTGGCTTAACTACTTCGTTGTTCGCAATGAGAATAAATATTGTTACTAAAGAGATGACAACAGCCGCCGTGTTTGTTTCCGAAATTTCATCAAAAACGCATTTTAAAGTCTGAAAATGTTTGCTGAAAACTTGTATTTGATTCTTGATTTGCTCACATTTGTGAAAACAAAAAGTCCCTTCTGTTTCGGTATTTTTAATCCTAATAAATCCTTGATTTGTGAGGCAATCACTTGAAAAGCGGCTCCCGTCGTGAAACCGCTAACCAAAGTCTCCGAAAGCAAATTACTAACAATTCCCAATCTCAGCACATACATTGCTAGCTGAAAATTCCTGAAATATTTTCATCCTTCATTGAATTTCGCTTACCTGAAACAAGGCTACAGTGAATGTGACTGCTGTCGCCACTTCTATGGGAGAATAGCGGTCATGGACCGATTCAATGACCGGATTTTCGCTCGTGGTATTGATTTCTGAACTTTTCAGGAAATACGACGGATCACTGTGTTCTAACACGGCCTTTCCGGTCATTAAACAAACAACAGCAAAGGTTCCTGAAACAAAATTTGTGAAATTTTTACGGGAAAATTGGGGTTTTCACCCATGGAATTGTGACGCGAAGTCCCCAAAAAGAAGTAAATTAAGACGGGAAAAAAGGCCATGTAGATGCCCACAACAGGGGGGACGTTGCCTAAAAGGGCATACGCCATTCCTGCAATTTCGAATTAATTAAACTTAATTTAATTAATTAAGCCCGGACCTTGAGGGATGTGCATTATGGCAACGGTGAATCCTGATATAAAATCGGCCAATAAGTTTTTTCTCCATTTGTAGTGACTTAGCCATTCGAGGGCTGGGATTGTTTTTAAGACAATTCTCTTGAAGTTTGTGTCAAAATCCAGACTCAAACCTATATTAATGAGCGAGTGTTACATTCAATTTTTTCTACTCACATTTCTTTTTGTCTCTTTTACTGTAGTCGAAGTCTTTCCTGAGTTGGTCATGTTCGTAGATGGGCCTATCGATTTTGATTTGGCACCGAACTGCCTCGTCCATCCTTGAACCAAAATATAAATTTTTCAAAATTGTGACACCAACACTCACTTTTTTGTCATGTTTTGAATATTTAAAACGAACAGTAACAAACATTATCTGGAAGTAATTAATATTAACCTTAATTGCTTTCCTTATCGACGAATTTATACGCCAGGTGGGGAAATATATGCTTATTCAGGCGTTTCCGTAAAACTTTGAGCGCTTTTTTTCAACCTTCACCGGATTTCACAATTTATTCGTAATTGTGCATTATTGAAACGCACTCGTTGAACACTGAAGAGAATTATTTGCCCGTTTTGTGAGCCTTGTCAAGATAAGTCGCCTAATTTACAACTGTTTGACTTATTGTAGACTGCGTATCCTGCAAGTCATTAAAATATTTGAAGAGCAATTAAGAGAATTTTTGCCAAAAAATTGTCAACATATTTGCATTAAAACATAAAACCCATTCCTGTTACAATAAATAATAATTTGATTTTCGCTTTTTACCCGATTCTCCTTGATTCAATTAACAAAAGAAACTTATTTTCGTGCTTGAAACTAAATTGGCTAGAAAGGCATTTTTAATTTGTTGACATTACAAAATTAATCATTTTTTGTATACGCTCCCAAAAACAGCTATTTTAGAGACTCATTTGAGTCCCTAAAATGAGTCTTTTCCGGACTCAATAAAATAGTACAAAAAAAATGGTTATTTTAGGTACTCAATCTCCAAAAACAGTTTTTCCGGACTGAAAAATACATTTCATATTAATCAAGATTAATTAAAATATTTCACTTTTTTTTTAATTTTAATACCCAGAAACGCTCAGGACGTGTTTTATATAAAACCAAGACATTGTAACAAAATACTTAAAATAATCTTTTTTTTTCTTAAGTGTTTGCTTCTATACTCGTATTAGGGCCAAAAATCCTCATATATATAAAAGGTTTTTGCCAATGATAACTAACTGAAGAACTAAATACATTCATACTTTTAAAGGGTATAATACATGTATAATTATTATGTGTTTATTATTATTATGTATGAATGTATGTATTTAGTTATAAAGAATTTTGAAGACGTGAAGATATGACTGTCATGAAGCGTTAAACTTGAATTCGGAGTTTTTTTTCCTAGATTTTTATAATTTACAATGTTTCTAGCAATGTAAAAAAATCTTACCATCATTTGTTGGTATTGTAATGCTTTCTTATTTATTATTTAAAACTGGGCGCCACCAACTTTTTCCTAAAAATTGGAAAAGAACTGTTTGAAGATGTTATCCAGGTCTACACTACACAAGAGTGCCTTTCCGACTAGCTTTTTTATACAGTGGAGGGGAATGGGGAGGTTGGATTTAATTAAACACATGTGATTAAAAAGAGAAATTTATTTAGTAACAGTAACAAAAGATAAAACAAGTCATTTTATAAACAAACTCTAACTTGGACCTAGTGAATCTTAGCCCTTGGAGAAGAGGTCCTCCGCGGCCTGTGCTCCTTTATATACCCTTTTAAAGTCAGCATTTCTATAGTAACAAAACACTTTGTTTATATTTTTTTAATGATTTATCTCAGCGCATCTCTCATTGGTTTATTTCTAGCGGTTCTTTTTTAAATGAAACACAAACACAACATATTATTTATTCAAGGAATTCTTACACAATTTAATTAATTAAGTGTTTGGAAAATAAACTACACATATTTCTAATACCAAACAAATACTAAATCCAAGATTTTATTACAGTATAGACCAATTGGATTTATTTGTAAAACTAATTTTGTAATTATTGTTTGTATAGCACTGCCTACTTCTGTTTTAGTAATAAGGCATCTACTATATGATTAAATCTTTGGAAAAATAATTAAATCTTTTTTAAACAAGTAGCAGCTCTAAGAGGCATTTAAAGACTTAAATAAGTAACAATCACAAACGAAGAAACAACCCTTACTATATTAATATTTAACAAACTAGATAAGAGATATTTGATTATTATTTAATTAATAATAATCAGTCGGGCACTACTAATTATAAATGTCGATAAATATATAATCCAAGAATTTAAATTCATGGCAGTTTCACTTAAGATTTTGAAACTGACTGGCAATATGATTGTCACAATTAACGTAAATGAAAACAGTTTTTAACTTATAATAAATTGACTTTGCAAATTTTAGGATTTCGACTTAAGAACGACGTTTAATATTGAAAGAAAAATTCTTTCATTTCCGGGTTATTATCCGAAAGGAAACATTGAACAAAATAGTGTTTTTACCATGGTCATTTCAGTAGCAACTACAATGATTTCCCTTGGTCAGTTATTCTCAATGATAATGCAAATTTTTGTAGCCAGACATGATTTATCCAAATTATCCGAAACTTTGCTTTATTTTACGACTCATGTTACATACATGTGCAAATTGGCAAACTTTGGATATCATAGATCCAAAATTCTACACATCGAAAATTTACTAACACGTTCACAATTTTATGGTTTTGCAAACACTCAATTAAAAAAAGTACAACAAAGAGTTGCTTCTACAAAAATGGTTGGGAAAACGTTCCAAATATTRTGTGGTGTGTGTGTGTTTGCATGGGGCTTGGTGCCATATTTCGACCATACCAAAGCTCATTCTTTACCATTGCCGGGATGGTTACCTTATGATACAAYCAAATATTATTATCCGACTTTTGTGTTTCAAATGGTCGCTTTGTTTATCACTGCTTGTCTCAATTCAACGATTGATATCTTGACTTGGATGCTGGTGACGCTAGCTTCGGCACAGTTTGAYATTTTGAAAGAAAATTTAAAAAATATTGACTACAAATGTGAATTGCTGACAATTGAATTAGAGTTTAAAACGTGTGTRAAGCACCACAAAGAAATCGTAAAGTATGCATTTGTTGGTCTTAAATTCAACTCTAGTRAAATCACAAATTTTCAGCTTTGTCCATAAGATTGAACACACATTTTCCAAAGGCATCCTTTTACAGTTTTTCGCCAGTGTGATTGTTATTTGTTTCACAGGATTTTCTATTATGATTGTAAGCCAACTCATCAGAGAAAAATAATATTTCAAAATTGATTCAAATTTTAGGTGCCACTATTTAGTATGCAATTCGGTTATTTGCTATTTTATTTCTTATGTATGATGACACAAGTTGGAATGTATTGCTGGTACGGTCACGACGTCATGACAACAGTTAAGATAACACACTGGCTAAGTATAGTGTCTGAAAAATTGCATTTTTAGAGTAACGAAATTGGGCAATATTTCCATATGTCTAATTGGTACGAATCTGATATAAGAGTGAGACCAGATTTGATGGTTTTTTTGGAAAGAATTAAAAAGCCTGTAACTTTGACTGCTGGAGGTTTTATAACTTTATCTTTGACAACTCTAGTTCGCGTAAAATAGAAAAAAAAAGGTAATAATGTATTTTTATCTTAATATTTTTTTAGATTCTGAGATCATCTTACTCGTATTTCGCTGTACTTCAACATTTATACAACAATTCTTAGGAATAACTAGTGTGATAGAAATGTTTGCTTTTTAATTTTTTTAAATTTTATTTAACATTTTTAAAAGTTAGAAACTGTTAAATGTTAAAATTTTAAAATTTACAACATTATAGCTTTATGTAGAATTTCACATCTAAATATCGTAAAAGCAAGTGTAAAATACGGATTTACACAAAATATATTTGAGTTTATGTTTTATTGGAATGGATGTCTGATGGGTATTAAAAATTAACAGTAGGTATTAAAAATGGCTATTTATTTATGAAAAGTATAACACTAGAGTAAGTAACGTATCAATTGCATAGAATTTTTGTATTTATACATTTTTAAAACTAGGTAAAGGTTTAAATAAACATAAAAAAATTCGATAATCTTTCTTAATAAACTTGTGCACAAAATCACAGTTTAAAAAATCAGTTGAGCCTTAGCAACCCTGCTTCAGTAGATGGAGTATCCATTTTTTGACTAGATACAAAATTGAGTGGATGTTTTAACATATTTGGATCTCGTGCAAGAACTGGTGAAATACTCCCCGGACAATTTATCACCGGCGCAACTAACTTAAAGTTTTTGTCAATACAATTCATAATATTTGCAATTTTTTGATTATTTGCACCATTTTTTCTTGAATGTGGCAAAGCATATTTCAACTTCTTCCAAAAGTACGGATCGCCCCACTTCACATAAGTGTTTGTTTTTAAGTACGTTTTGAGTTCATCATCTAAAGAATCCACATCGACATCTCCGTACAAAACAATAATAACCCGAGCACGTCCTTCCGTCATTGCTTGAGTGTGAGCAGTCCGAAACTCCATTTTTCCCCAAACACTTTCAAGGAAGTTCGGCGAAAGCACCACTAATGTCCGACGCGATTCGAGCACCGAATTTGTCACTTGTGTTGTAATAAATTCTCCAGGGATCCAATTACGATAGTGAAGACAGAGTTTGTAAGGTTGAGGACCACCTTCAAGAACCGGAAGAAGGTTTTCAGTGACGAAATCTTCATCTTTGTGYGAGTAGCTGATGAAAGCATCGTAGATTTTGTCCTTRTCAASYTCCTCCTCTGTGAYCCACCACAAACACRAATTGTGAGCAAAGAGCCAGATTTTTAATTCCTGTTGGTATCGGTAATAAAAGGCAAAAATGAAGGCTATGAAGAAGAGCACTGCCACGACTGTGAGGGCGAGATAAACGACTTGCCATTCGTCACAAAGGTCAGTCTGGTTTAACTCAATCAAACGGTTTGTACTGTTGAAACAATAAATGTGTCTTGCGTCCAACTACAAAAAAATAATAAAACACAATTTTCACAATTCTAGTCGCAAAGCATACAATTTTTGAGTTATGTCGAAGAAAATTAGTCAAATTTGCAGTCTCACAATCACATTTCCAAGGATTATGATTAAGAGTCAAGTTTACTAACTTTGACGATTCTATCAAATTCAAAATTTTAAAATCCAATTGTCGTATCTGGTTATTATGTAATTGTAACACCTGAAAGCTAATATTTAGTAATGATGATAATTACAAAACACACTACCTTGAGTTTTGGTGGTAACCAAGAAATAGTTTCAATTTTGTTATGCGAAAGATAAAGTMGTGTCACATTTTCGTAATTTGGTAATTTGCTGTCAGGMCACGAAGTAAGATGATTTCCTTCAAGATGCATTTCAGTCTGATTAAAYCCAAGCGAGGAWATTTTACTAAAGTCGATTTCAGGAAAAATTGTTAAATTCTTAAAAGAACAATTTACAACAAGAGTGTGGTCRTATGGTCTCCAGTTATAGGAACATTTTTCCGAAATATTTTCTCGAAGACATGTTAAATTCGAGGGTGATAACATCCTGATTTGCACATTTTTTAGTTCTGGTGGATTGAAACAAGTTAAATTTTTTATAGAAATATCAAAYAGTTTTGAGTGATTCTTAAATCTTTCAGTGGCTAAAAATTGTAAAAAGTCGTAAATCTCACAATTACAYATTATGGGATTTTTTTCTAATAAAATGGTGGTTTTATTGACACTACTATTTATATTGTCTAATTTGTCAAAACTAATTTTGGTTACATTGTTATATCGGAGGTTGACTTCCAAAGTTGTTAAAGCTCGTAAGTTGGTCATCTGGAATTTATTTAATTTCATGAATATGAAGATTAAAAAAAAAAACAACTTACCATTATTTCTTTTATAAAATTATGGCTTAAATCCAATTTTTTCAGTTTGGGCAAATTATATAATACTACTACATCTGTAATTCTAGAGATGTTATTAAAACTTAAATCAATACGTTGCAAATTTCGAGTATCTTCAAATATATTTCCTTTAGAAAGTCGATTGTGTGACAATACTATTTCCCTTAAATTGCTCTTATCGTTGAAAGCTCCATACTGAATTGTCTTGATTTGATTTTTTCTAAGATTGATTTTCTTCAATCGCCACCCTCTCAATAAATCCTTCTCAATCACACTTATGTAATTATGTTCAAGTTCCAGCTCCTCCAAATTAAGCCCTYTAAACGCATTTTTGTCCAGGTGAGTRAAATTATTTTTGTTCAATTTCAAGGTTCTTATATTGACTGCATTTTGAAATACGTGTTCCGGTAAATGATTCAAGTTACAAAAACTTAAATCCACTATTTCTAACGACGACAAAYTAGCGAATAAGTAATCCGGTATTGTAATATYTGGATTGAATGCTAGTAAAACAATTTTCAGATTTTTATTATTTCGGAAAAGATTCGATGGAATTTTAGAYAAATAGTTTTGCTGTAAATTCAGATCAGTGAGTTGAGTTAAACATTCAAAAGCGTTTTCGGTAATTATTTCAATAAGATTATTAGTTAATTCCAGTGATTCCAAACTTATTAATCCATTGAATGTGTCTTGATTTAGTTTTGTCAAGTTATTAGATATCATATGCAAGATTCTAAGTTTGTTCAAGTTTTTGAACAAATGTTTTGGTACGTCCACCATWTGATTCATTGACAAATATAATCTTTGCAGTAGTGGAGTGTTTTTGAAGAAATTTTTGTCCAATTTCAAATTTTTATTATTTTCGATTTCGAGGTAATCCAAATTTGGAGTATTATCAAGCAATTTTTCATCAMTACTTTGAAATGTTACTCTTCTCAGTCTCAGACTTGTCAAACTTTGAAAACCCTCAAAATGTGTTTTGGTCAAGGTAACATTTACCACACTACTTAACTTAAACTCTTTGATTTGTTCTTTTAAGAAATGATTCGCAATTGACTTAAAATTCTTCGCCACAGGACACGAATTTAAATAGATGCTATTTACTCCCTCTAAACTAACATTCGGTAGCCAATCAAAACGAAACGTTTCCATTTTGTAACAATCAATTTCTATTCTTTTACTTTTAATTAGTTTGATAACAAACCCTTCGTCAGTCCAAAACGAAAAATTTGTTGGACATTGAATTTCAAAAGGTGGACCTGTGAAATTTCGACAGTTCCATTCTAACAAACTTGATACAAAATCGGGTACGATTAGTGAGAAGCAAGCAAGAAGTGCCAGAAAACATTGCATGATCTAAAAAATTCAAATGATTAAAAAACTGAGCATAAAATACTTACTTGTTACTTACAAAATCAGTAATGAACACAATAGTGAGTAAATTAATTTAATGGATTTTTTTGCGAAAAATACATATTGTTATCTGAAACCAAAACAAAAATAGCTAGTTAGTCACATTAATTACTTTATTTACCTAAAGTTGCATTGAAATTTAATTTCTAGTGTTATCTTATCTTAAAAAAACGTCATGTCAACATAAATACAAAATTCGCTATAATTTTATAACGCTTTATCACAAATTAAATTTAGTTGAAATAAAAAAAGATTCATTTACTTTTCAAGCATTTGCAAAATTTTTAATCCAAATACACTTATCACCGGTATTTGTCACTGCTTTATCACAGCCATTTTGCTCTTATCTGTATCACAACCGCACATTATAGTTACTGTGCCTATTAYAACACACTTGAATGCGTATGCAAACTTGTCTCAAATGAGAATTTATAATTTTAGTGTTAATAATTCATTTATTCCTTCTTAGAAAAATAAATTGTGAAAATTTGTTATTCTAGATACGGTGGTTCTTGGAATGCACGTCTGAGATGGGTTCAAGGTTGGGTTAATCAAAATAACTGATGTACGAAAACGGCTATATTTTTAAAGAGTACAACAATAAAAATTTATAAAATATATCATAATTCTAACATATTATTTGCATTTAACAGTACGAAGTGTTAATGACAATTAAAAAATTCCAATAATGGAAAAACATAATTTGTACGTATTTTACATACAAAATTTTGGCACCTTATCTTAATAAATTTGTACAGCATAATAACAAAATCACAGTCTTAAAGACCAGTCGATACCAGCAATGTCCCTGCTTCAGCAGGTGGAGTATCTATTTCTTGACTAGATACAAAATTGAGTGGATGTTTTAACATATTTGGATCTAGTGCAAGAACTGGTGGAGTAGTACCCGGACTATTCGTAACCGGTGCAACTAACTTAAATTTATCGTCAATACAATTCATAACATTTGCAATTTTTTGATTATTTGCACCATTTCTTCTTGAATGTGGCAAAGCATATTTCACCTTATTCCAAAAGTGGGGATCGCCCCACTTCACATAAGTGTTTGTTTTTAAGTACGTTTTRAGTTCATCATCTAAAGAATCCACATCGACATCTCCGTACAAAACAATAATAACCCGARCACGTCCTTCCGTCATTGCTTGAGTGTGAGCAGTCCGAAACTCCATTTTTCCCCAAACACTTTCAAGGAAGTTCGGCGAAAGCACCACTAATGTCCGACGCGATTCGAGCACCGAATTTGTCACTTGTGTTGTAATAAATTCTCCAGGGATCCAATTACGATAGTGAAGACAGAGTTTGTAAGGTTGAGGACCACCTTCAAGAACCGGAAGAAGGTTTTCAGTGACGAAATCTTCATCTTTGTGCGAGTAGCTGATGAAAGCATCGTAGATTTTGTCCTTGTCAAGCTCCTCCTCTGTGACCCACCACAAACACAAATTGTGAGCAAAGAGCCAGACTTTTATCTCCTGCTGGTAGCGGTAATAGAGTGCAAAAGCAAAGGCAATAAAGAAGAGCACTGTCAGGACTATGAAGGCGAGATAGACGACTTGCCACTCGTCACAAAGGTCAGTCCGGTTTAACTCAATTAAACGGTTTGTGCTGTTGAAACAATAAATGTGTCTTGCATCCACCTACAAAAATCATTTAAACACTTTACATTTTTAACCCCAAAACATACAATTTTGGTATTTTGGCGTAGAAAATTGGTAAAATTTGCTGCGTTGCAATCGCACTTCCATGGATTATTAAACAAAGTCAAATTGTGCAAATGTGACTCATTCAATGTGCTTAAAASTTTGGAGTTGATATAACTGATTCGGTTATTATCCAATTTCAAAACCTGCAACCCAATTATAACACTCATAAAGATACAGAAAGATATTTACCCTTAGTTTTGGTGGCATCCACGAAATCGTTTCAATTTCATTAGACGAAAGATAAAGCTCCGTTATATTGTCATAATCAGTCAAATTATTATCAGGTCCAGTATTTAAAAAGTTACCCTCGAGATGCATTTCAGTTTGATCAAATTCAATCGTTGCAAACTCACTCAAATTTACTTGAGGATATCGAGTCAAATTTTTATTCGCGCAATATATTATCATAGATCGATCATAGGGTCTTTGACTACACAAACACTCCTCCGGACATCCTTTTACAACTGGACAAATGAGCAGTTTTATTGGCAATGACTCAATCGAAAAGTTTTCAAGTGGCGGTGGACTTGCACATTTTAATTCTTCCATTTTCAAATCAAACATTACTTTAATTTCCGGCCTAAGCTCATTTGTGATATATCTCACTAAATCAAAATTGTAACAGTCACAATTTAAAGGATTATGATTCAAATCGATGACAGAATACGACGGATCAGGATTAGATAAAGCATCTCGGRGTTTTGTAYTTGTAATAATCATTTCGAGGTAATTGAAATCAACCGTTCTTATATCATTGTGGTCCAGCTTGATAATTAGCTTTTTAGCCAAAGGCTGAAGATCTTTCAACTAAAATCACACAGTTATACATGATTAAGAAATAAGAGAAATACTCACGTGTATTATTTGTATGCGGTTGTAACTCAAATCCAAAGAYTTTAAATTGACTTTGTTGTACATCGTGACCACGTCTTCGATTCGTCTAATTAAGTTGTGACTTAARTCAATAGTTTCAGCGTTGTGGACATTTTCCAAAAGGCACGTTTGTGAACTGTACTCTTCCGAAATATTATTATGGGACAAATCAATCGTTTTTAAATTGTTGTTATTGTAAAATGAACGGTTATTAATCTTAGTAATGTGATTGTTTCGCAAATTAATCTTCTCCAAACTTATCAAATCTTCGAATGTTTGTTTTTTAATTTCCATGATTTGATTATCTTCAAGCGACAAAACTTTGAGTCGTTCAAGTGACTTAAAAACGTTGTTAATTGTCTCAATATTGTTTTGGTTCAAATAAATCTCTTCCAAATTTTTCAGTCCTTGAAAAAGTCCCTCCGATATAAACTTCAATCTGTTTTGACTCAATTTAATTGTTTTCAAGTTTAGAGAATTCTTGAAAATATCGGAAGAAATGTCTTCCAATTTACAATCGCTCAAATCAACTTCTTCAAGTAAGGAGATGTTCGAAAACAGGTAATTCGGAAGCCTTATGCCTTCATTCATTTTCATTATAACTAATTTTAATTCTTGATTATGGCTAAAGAGATCCCCAGGTACTGATTGCAATTTATTCATTGATAAATTAATTCGTACTAAATTGTTTAAATTTTTTAAAGCATTTTCAGAGATTCTTTCAATTTTGTTTGCACTTAACTCCAGCGATTTTATATTTTTCAAACCGTTAAAAGTTAAATCATCAATTTGTTGAATTTTGTTACCCCAGACATGTAACAGCTCCAAGTTTTCAAGATTTTGAAATAAATTTTGAGGAAGGTAATTCAAGTCGTTTTGAGAAATATCCAAAGACTTTAATAGCGGTGTACTTTTAAACAAATTTGTCTTAAGTTTGAGTTTATTCACTTGCAATTCGAGTGATCTCAATTTTGGAGTATTTGCAAAAATATCCTCTTCGACTTCTATTAATCCGTTATTCTCCAATGATAAACTTTCAAGATCTTCAAGTCCCTCAAAATAGTCTTTAGATAAAGTCGTATTGGGCAATTCGTAATTTGAGTATTGCAAAATTTTGACTTCTTTAATCCCAAACCAGTCTAACACCTCTTTGAAGTTTCTGGGAGGTAATGGACAAAATCTCATTCGAAATTTTTCAACTCTCTCAATGGTGACATTAGGAAGTAAAGTGATTTTAAATTCCGTCATACTGAGAGAACAATCGATTAAAATCTCCTTCTCCCCTTTTACATGAATGACGTAATCTGGAGTATTCCCATCTTCGAAACTGGAGGGGCATTGAAATTCGAATTCTGCCCCTGGAAGACACAGACATTTTTTATCTTCGCGGTTGCATTTGAGACTTGTTGATGGTTTTAGATAGATGAGTAAAAGAAGGATTGGCCACACATTTTTCATGTTTATAGTCTGGAAGAGAAAAGAAAGTTATTGTTTGYAAATTGTGTGATGCTAGTCACGTGTCGTGAAGAAAATGATGTAAAGATTACGGCGCTTGTGTTTGAAGAATACCAAACAAAACTTTAGCCTTGATTATTATTTCGGACTGTTTGTTGCTTTATAATCTTCAAAGCAAAAAATATTATTAATAGAATCGTGAACATTCAAGTCTTCCATAATTATAAGACGCTGCAAACGTGAAAGTAAAATTCCAAGTACACTAAACGAGTTTGAAACGAGTTTTTAGTTAACATATTTAAATTATTGATTTTTGTGTCTACAAAACGGACAAATTTGCTCAAAAAATTCTAAAAATTAAAAAATAAAGTGTACAGTAAATTCGCTTTATTTCGGAAGTCGAGCAACTTTCTCGTTTTGGTCGACAAAATTTACCCATCATAAATCTAGTTAAGTCTGAAAATGTCATTTTAATTAATATTGAACTTTAACATTTTCTGGTAAATTCCTAATAAAAAGCCGAAATTTGCCTATAATTGTTGGCGCGTCCTATATCATCGTATGGAAGTCCCAGAATAATAAAACGAGTTTTGGAAAAAATAATAAACGCTTTTGTGTTTAGGTCATTAAGTTTATCAAACTCTATTGGTTTTTCCAATGTCATGTATTTATTATCTATAATCTCCAATTAATCAAAATAACATAAAAAGCCGACATATTAACAGGTATCTATGTACAGACACTGGCAGAAATTAATGAGTTTAAAAACTAACTTTATGTATCTTTTGCATGTTTTATAGAGCATCAGGTTAACATTTTTTGTCATTCACTGCAAATAATTAAATATTTCCCTTTATTACTCTAATGAAGTAGGTATGTGCACATTGCACAATTAGTTGCACTCGTTATTTTTCCTGAATCAATTTTGCATAGCATGGAAAAAACGTGTGAAAATAACTGAAGCACGACAAAGATTTATTTTTGATTATGGTTTTTATTACAGTCAAAAAATAAATAAAATACTRTTCAGTTTTGTAAACATTTCGTGACTATTTTTTTACAGATAAAGGTGATTCTTACCTTTTCGTAATAATCTCTGTTATTATTATTATTTTATTATTATTGACCTTGCAGCAGAATTAGAAATTTCCATCCATTACACTTATAAGTTACATCACAACTGTAAAGATGTGCATTAGGATTGTTTTTTACCAGAGTAAAATTATTATTAATATTATTAGTATTATTATTAATATTAAAATCGCTTTAGTGACCATGTAGTGGTATAATAATCAATACAATAAACTTATACCTACCTAGAATGATTATTTATTATTAAAAGAACAGTTTTTCATTAAAAACGAAGTAAATTAAAGAAAATAAAATGCCTGTGTGCATGAAGTCGWACTCAAGCCGATCACAAAATTGTTATTATGTATCACAAATTATAGAAATTTTTTGTTTATGAATTGTAAACAACATGCGAATTTGTAATTTCTGAACCGGAAACAAACGGAAAGCAGAAAAGTGAAATTTTGAAAAAATCCATTACTACTATGCACATTAAAAACATGATTTAATCTATTTTATTAAAAAAAATACTTTTTTATTAGGCAGCACTATGTATTTATTTACGTATTTGYATATAAAATTGAAATATTACACAAAAACCGCAAATTTCGTCCTTACTGTAACAAAATCAGTTCCGCTAAGTCAATTATACTCACTTGAAAGACATCAAAATGTCAAGCTGGTACTCTTCCAATAAACAACTCGATTTCACATAATCACATTTCTTAGAAATCAACAACACTCCATATTGCAAAAACCGTCAGTCTTATATCGATACTAAACTACTCACAATTATTAAAACTCTTTAATTTCACAAACTTTCAAAACAAATATGGTCATTATTTAAAAGCACTAAGAAAGCTGTCCAAAAAATTAAAATTTTATAAAACCACCTGCCTCCTACACTTGCTTAGTGGGAAAGCCAAACTAGTAGAAAACTGATGATGACATTTCCTACGACATGCTTGTGACGTTAAATAAAACCCCACCAAAAAACCGAGCAATTAGCTCGCAAGTCGAGTTTAGACGAATACTATAACCGGATCCGAGATCGGGTTATTGTGAGGTCATGGATGTTGGTTTTGTATAAACAAATTTAAGATACAGTTTTGATAAGGGATCAATAAACCAACAATAAGTTTGAAAACATTTTTATTTCGTTTATTTGAGTACAATATCTAAAAATTTTAAAAATAAGCGAAGAGTTAGTGGTGGAAGAGTCGCAAATTCGTATGGGCCAAAGTAATGTTGTGTTCATTGCACGCAACAATAACTTCGGCATCATTTGTAGAACCGGCAGGAGCGCCAATATATGAGACTCCACTCTGAAACAAACTATTAGTAAAAGACTGACATTTAAGACGAGTTAACTGACCAAACGAGCCCTATCGACATTGTCTCTGAAGGGGAAAAAGGCATCTGACCCTAAAGCTACCCCCTTCAATTGATCCAACCATGCCCTTTTTTCGGCCTGAGTCAACTCAGTTGGTACTTCATCATACATAGATTCGAACACTTTCCGATCCATGTCTTTACCAACAGTCCCATTAACGTAGTTATCTATCGCGTTGGAGATTTCAGCCCTTTTAACCCCTTTTCTGAACTTCATATTGATGACTTTWGGATGCTGTCTGATCCACCAGTTATCAGCTTTATCTCCGGCAAGTCTAGTGCAATGAATCCTGGACTGTTGACCAGCACCGATTCCGATAACTTGTCCGTCTTTAGCGTAACAAACCGAGTTACTCTGTGTATATTTCAAAGCAATAGTGGCTACAATCAAATCACGAACTGCCCCATCTGGTAATGTCTTATTCTTGGTGACAATGTTGGTAAAGAGGGATTTGTTAATGACAGCGTTGTTTCTTTGTTGTTCTAAAGTAAGCCCGAAAAGAACCTTGCGTTCAATTGGATCAGGTTCGTAATTTGGGTCAATTTGRAGAACACAATAATTKCCGTTCTTCTTCTTTCTCAAAATTTCTAAAGCTTCAGGTGTGAAACCCGGAGCGATGATTCCATCGGAAACCTCTCTGGAGATGATTCGAGCAGTGATTACATCACAAGGGTCAGAAAGTGCGACAAAATCGCCGAAAGATGACATACGGTCGGCACCACGAGCACGGGCATACGCCGTCGAGACAGGGGTTAATTCGGAGAAAATATCATCGACCATACATAGTTTAGCCTAAGAAACACAATTATGAATAAGGTTCGGATTATATGCACGAAAAATTCGTAAAATATGCGCATATACCAGGTGAATAAAAAGTATGGAACCAAACGTTTTTTCCTTAAACTATTTATTTTTTGAAAAAACTAATTGATGAKTGATAAAGTATTATAAAAATGTGATGATTTAACAAGAATAAAATTTTTCGAAATTTCCTTTTGTTTTTTGTTCTACAAAAAAAATATTTTTTTTAAATGGCAACCCACTATAAAATCATTTTTTTCATAAAAGCTATACTCTAAGGATTACAACTATCTGCTTTATATTTAATTTTTTCAAAAAAAATTTTTCAAATAAATTGCAATTTTAACAAAAAAAAATCGCATAACTCAAAAACAAAACAAAATTTCGTTCTGAAAATACGATCTCATTTTTTATATTACTTTAATTTATATTAATTATTATTTTCTGGAGGCAAATATGCTCGCTCCAATATATGCCAWATATGCATTGATATGCAATTATGAATAAGGCTCGGATTATATGCAAAATGCATAYTTGTTATTAAGAGGTATATCAACAAAATTGTAAGTTTTCTATGCATGTCTAATGTTTTTTTGATTAAAATAAGCCAATTAAAAAATGCATATTTTGGTAACTTTGAGCATATTTTAGGAAATAATGCATATTTGTGCATATTTTCTTCAAATCACAAATTTCCGATTAAAAATGTCAGTTCAAGTTAAAAATATTCCAATTTAAGAAAAATGATCCGATTACAAAATATGTTTAAGAGAAAACAACCAGTAATTCGTAAGCCRGGCTCAAAGAATCAGTATCTTGCTGAGTGTTGCCTCTTTAAATTCATTTTATACAGAGTGAATATGAAGTCTTTTTTTAATTATTTTCCTCTGGAAAATAATAATTAATATAAAATAAAGTAATATAAAAAATCTGATTGTATTTTCAAAAAGAAATTTTGTTTTGCTTTTAATAAAAAGTAGATAGTCTCTAACACAGTTGTTTTTGGGAGAGTATACAAAACATTTTTTTTTAGTGGGTTGCCATTAAAAAAAATATTTGTAGAACTCAAAAATAAAATATTCGAAAAATTTTATTCTTGATAAAACATTTAATTCATCAATTAGTTAAAAAAAAAATAAATAGTTTAAGCAAAAAATGTGTGGTTCCATACTTTTTACTCACCTAGTATAAATCRAATAAATCTTTCTGTGTGGATAAGTAGTTGCCTGCAAATGAATTTTAGCAAAATTGTTTAAAGTGATGTGATCTGAAAAGTACAGATTTCTTAGAAAGGCTTAATTACTAGGTTATTAAAATGGCTTGTCTGAGGTAAAACCAATTTATTTATTCTCTTTGGTTCATCGTGTGCGGTTCAAGATAATGATAATGAAAATACAAACTTTAGTGTACTCGAGGATAAAAAATTATTCCAACTTTGATTTTTTATTGTTAAAAGTTTTGCATATCGATGCATCTTTGGCATATATTCGAGCATATTTCTTAATATTTTGTGCATATTTTTCTGAAAATACGTGCATATACAGGGTGTTTCACATAACTTTAAGAGGCTTGCGCCTAATGTACGCACCCAAATATACAAAAGTCACAGAACACTGGATACTAAAAACACACATTTAATTATTTAATTTTTGGAAACCCATGACAGTAGTTGTCAAACTAATCACTGTTTTAATAATAGTCATAAACTGCAGTTTTTCAGAAACAATTATCATTTGTTCTATCAAGAGACGGCATGAATATGATTCTAGTTTATCTATCTTAATCAGAAACTAACTAAAAACGTTATAATTTTTGAAAGGGTGAACAAACTAGAGAAGATTATCCAATTTTTCAAAATTTGTAATCGAGTTCGTATCGGAATATGTATTACAGGCGCAGGCCTCGTAAAATTATGTGAAACACTCTGTAYATGCGCATRTTTTACGGATTTTTCGTGCATATAATCCGAGCCTTAATTATGAAAATCTCAATGGAAATTGTGCAACCGCATTGATTAGTGATAATAATGACCTTAACCTATCTTATCACAATTGACCAATCATGATTACGCAAAATCGGTCACTTACCTGAGTGCTATCGAGGGGAACACCCACAGCAGCCCCCGCTGGCGATACGTGTTTAAAACTTGTGGCCGCGGGTAGCCCTAAACCTGCCTTAAGTTCCTTAACTAACTGCCACCCATTGAGAGCATCGCACAAGTTAATAAAACCAGGGGCTCCGTTAACTACCGTTAAGGGTAGTTTAGACAAAGTAGTGAAAATTTGCGCCGGCTTTTGGTGAGGATTCATGCCATAACGCAACGTTAGTTGCGACACTCCGGYTGAATACTGTTTTCTGAAGTAGTCTGTAATGGCCAAGTCGTATTCGGAGGTGTGTGTGAAGGCTTTAAGAGCCAGAGTTTGGCTAAAATGTGATAATGACTTTTGGTTTGGTTGGATTTTGGGCCATTTACCGAGTTTCAACTGTGGTGTCTTTGTTGGGGGTGCTACGCATTTCGGCAATGACTTTATCGTAGTCTGAAGGGTCGCAGACTACGGTGACTCTGGAGTGGTTTTTGGCGGCGGCTCTGAGTAGAGTGACGCCCCCAATGTCGATATTTTCAACAGCATCGGCGATTGTAACATTTGGGTTTGAAACAGTTTCAACGAAAGGATATAAGTTGCAAACCACGACTCGAATCAAGTCGATTTTTTGTCTTTTTAAATCCTCCTGATCTGATGGGATAAGTCTACAAGACAATTCATTATAACTCGAAGAGAGTCTGGGGTWTTATACCTAGCTAAAATCCCCCCATGTACCGCCGGGTGTAGCGTCTTTACCCTCCCTCCAAGTATCTCAGGCGCTCCTGAGATCTCTGAGACATCCTTAACGGCAAGCCCCGCCTCCCTGAGACTTTTAGCAGTACCGCCACTTGCCACAAGTGTGAAACCCAAATCTTTGAGGTTTTTCCCGAGGGATATGAGACCGGTTTTGTTCGAAACCGACAAAAGAGCTAGAATTGGRCACATTTGAGATGTAAGGTTAGAGAAAACACGTGGGTAACTTACCCAAATTACCACCTGTTGCCATGTCTGAAAATTGTAACTCGATTACACTGCCAAGTAACACAAAATGAAAGAGTTGGGAAATAATTGCTTTTTAAATCCAATGGGGGGCTGTTATTGATAGAAAAAGGTCACGAGAGTTTATCAATGAAAAACATGTTTGCTGGGTTCCGATTTATCAAAGATGACGAAAAGACGTCTTGTAATATTTGAGATAAAGATAAACAGCGAGAGCAGAAAAGATACGTACCTTAAGCTGCACACAAATCAAGAAAGTGGTACCGGTGATTTTCAATTTAAATTGAGATAAAGAAGGTAGAATAGCTCTCTACTAACACTACGTCAAGGTCAAAAAGTTCTTAAAGCTTTTAAAATTATCCTAATGGGCGTAAATTGAACTAATGATAAAGACTATAAACGAATAGTGTTTATAAATAGGTACAACTAATGAAATAAAAGGCAAAAACTATGTTTGAAAACTTTATTGGCGCAAAATGAATAACAATATTCTATTATAAACATATTTTACAAGGGGCATTAAATATCGTAAATCTTAGTATTCCTAGTYTAAATACATATGTACAACCASAAAAAATCTACTTTCCCTTCTTTGCTTCCTCATTAATTTGGCGATGCCATTCAATATTTTGTTGTGAAACACTTTCCCCTCTTTGTGCCGCTTGTTTACCTAAATAAACCATTACAAGACATCCTAAAGCTGTAGCAGCCATCATGTAATTGGCAATCCTGATACGCATTCTATTTCTAGCTCGTTCCACGACATTTTGACTAAAAATAACAATAATTAATTTTGAGGGTAGTACTGCCACGGTAGTACTGAATAAAGCTACATCAGCGCCATCTAAAGTACTTATTATTATTTCTGAAACCAATTTCCATATGATAAATTATTGCAAATGCAATACTGTGTATRTTTTAAAGCACTTTATCTCGTGACTGATTATCTTTAATCTAAACTAAACTTACGCCACATAATTGGGCACTTCTTCAACAGTCTTGTATTTACCAGTCCATACTAAAAATTTCTTTTCCAAATTGTTAACCCTGTGACCTGTACCTTCAAATTTTGCGTGCTCTTTTCTGACACTGTAAACATTGTTATTTTGAGAACTTAATAATATATGTTGAGTCTTTATTAATAAAGTGTTGAGCAATGAATTCATCCTGTAAAGTCACAAATATGTGTTATTAAACTTGGCTTACGTAACACCKTTTGCAGACCTTTATTAAATTATGAAATATCATACACTGAGAAACACTAGTAGCAAAAAATCAGATCAGAATAAACACTTCGACCCCTGCTGATGGTGTCAGAATTGTCAAAAATGACGCACAAACCTTTGCACATGTACACAATAAAGCGCACTTTACAAAAATACTCCAATAAATTATAAATTAAGGAGGACAAGCATTTATAAGCGGAAGAGTTGGGTATACGTGCAAAAATACGCATAGGTCTGGTTAATAAAAAGTGCAGGACACCTGTTTCTTTGCACGTTTCATCTGCTGCAGGATATTTACCGCAAAAATGGGGTCAAGGGAAAACCGGTAAATTTGCTTATATATCTGAAAGTTCTTAAGGCTTGAAGCAAGGTAATTAAAATAAAAATAAAACAAGAACAAAAGTAGTAATCGGGTACAATTGCAAGGTTATTTTGAAATTTTTGAAAGTAGCGCTTTAAAGGTTTAAATTGATTGGCTGTGTGTTGCACCACCTTTTGTAAAACAATTGAAAATGCACATGCGCGGCCATTTTGTTTTTAATGGTTGTCGTTGGCGTTTCTTGTAATAATCGAATTTTACAAAAAAAAACAATAAARTAGTCGAACTTTTAGGTGTAAGTTGTTAGAATAAGTAAAAAGTCATCACGTAAGTGAATTTGAGCTAGTTTTCTTGGTGCTAAAACGTGAAATTGAGTCGAGATGGTTTCAAATGCAAAACGTATGAAATACGTTTCCGAAAACGAGTTTTCTTCATCAGATGGAGAAAATATTGATGATGGGGATTTTTCTCAACACAACAGGAGGGTAAGTCGGAGGCGTTTACGAAAAATTGAKCATGAAAATACTGAATTTTTGGGTTTACAGATGGGTGGACGTAAGACCAAAGGCTTGTCAAGGAACGCGATAATGGCCCGCGAAAATCGCTTAAAAAAGAAAATCTACATTACAAATCTTGAAAAAGAAGTGGGTCATTTAAAAACTGAGAACATAAATTATTCCAAAGTGATAGACAGTCAGTCTTTACTTATCGCTGATTTAAAGAAAGAAGTCAAATACTTGAAAAGTGTGATTGCAAACAGTAGAGATATTGGCAAATTGATAAAAAATATTCACCACAGTACAGGTATGTCAGTCTCAACATCCTTGGATCAGAGTTTATCATTGAATGTTTCAAAGCCAAAACAGCCTATAGCTAGAAAAACAGCACATCCATGGGAGGAAAAACGTTACCCAAGTTTTCCTACACCTGAATCAGATTTTCTTTCAAGTCCACATTCTGAAAGTGGATTGAATGATTTTACTGACGATYTATTTAATAATATTCAACTTGATGATTTCATGGGAGTCACTGATACAATTCTAGACCCAGTTTCTAGTGAAACAACTGAAGAAAATTTGCATTTACAAGAGCACAATTATACTACAAATGAARACGAGGATGATGTTGGAGTGTGTTTGCACGTCTCTAAACACAGAGTTTCGTTAGAGTTCTGTTCCATCTGCAGCGACAAYGCCCAACAAGCCTGGAACGACTGAATTAATTTAAAATGTCTGTATCTAAGTATACTTTTGTTGTCTATGTGTAGTCAAACTCTTTCCTTGCACTTAGGAATAACTGGGAATAACTGTTATTGTTACATAGCTAGTTTTTGTGAAATTTTGGAGTACTATTGTTTTTTTAAATTTTCAGGACCTCACGGAATTGGAGATTGTAACTTCAGAAGGATTTGCAGTCCACCTTCTGAAACAAAAGGTGTGGTAGTGTCCAATTTTGGTATATCCCAACTTCTGAGCTTTATTTGTTATTTTAAGTCACTTGACTCAGAAGTTGGGAGCGTCTTGTTTTTATTGAATTGTTATTTTCACACTTTGGTCTGATTTCAGTCAAAGACGCAGTCAAGTCACTTCAGGGCTGTAACAATGACTGGAATAAGTAGAGTATCAAATGTATCGTTCCATGTTCTATACATAATATTTCGTTCTAGAAATCGTATATTTTTATATTTGTTTAACTTTCTACTAAACAAGTGTGTTTTTGAGTTTCAGCACATAGCGCAGAGTCCAGGGCCGTGCCGAATTTCCGGGATATTTTAAGATTTTTTTAATATTAGGTAATTAGGTAGGTAGTGTAAGGAAAGGGTCAAATAAACTTTTGTATTTATGTTCCAACTGTCTTTACTTTACTTCCTTTCAAAGTTAGTTAGCATATGTTTGATAATTCAATTAGCCTACTGTGAAAAGAAGTTTGCATGCAATAAGCTTGTGAGCAATAAAAACTTGGCAAACGTCCAGTCAGACCACTRRCAAGTGAAAAAGTTCATTTCGATCGCGGCTTTCAACGTGGTCAGTTGTATTTTAAATTTGACGGGCATTTCGTGCGCGCGCAATGAATCAAGGACCAGTTTCGTGTCTTCCAAACACAAGCAAAATGTCTAAAGCTAAAAAAGTTTTAGATGAAGCACGGGAGATCCAAAATCCCGAAATTGATTTGGTCGATAAGGCCATTTCTTCGTTTGAAGAAACACCAGGTTTACGTAAGTGGAATCTCCTCGACAAGGTTTTTACCTAATTTGGTATCTTGTTCCACCTGAGTGGGCGTGGCCCAAAACAACTGGCGGGCCATTTACTTCACTAATCTTAAAAATATACAAATTTCTGTTCTCTAACAGCGGCGAATGAGATTTTTTTTATAGATAATGAAGACGTAATGACTTCAGCCAATAATTAACTATAACAATACACAAACTTGTCTTAACACACGGAATTGATTAATTTATTTTTTTAGTTAGTATGACTCACATAACCAGACTTACCCTAAGTCACAACAAGATTAAATGTAAGTCAACACTTACCTCTCTAGGGCCTTAAATTAAAAGCCCTCTTTTAGTCGTACCTCCTGCTCTGGCGAACTTAACAAACCTCGAAATTTTAAATTTAACCAACAACCAGATTGAGGAAYTGCCCCTTTCATTATCATCAATGCCAAAATTACGAATTCTCAACTTGGCAATTAATCGTCTTTACAATCTCCCTCGCGGATTTGGCGCTTTTCCAGTCCTGGAAGTTCTTGATCTGACTTACAACAATTTGAATGAGAAATCTCTTCCTGGAAATTTTTTTATGATGGGTAACTTTATCAATTTTTTCTGCTTCCAAACAACTAGTTTTTTATTTAGAAACTTTACGAGCCTTGTATTTGGGGGATAACGACTTTGAGTATCTTCCGCCTGAAGTGAAAAATCTAAAAAACCTACAGATTGTAAGCAAATAWTYTGAGTTTGAAGCAWAAATGGCGTGTCTTGTTTTAGCTGGTACTTAGGGAAAACGATTTGATTGAGTTACCAAAAGAGTTGGGAGAGTTAACGAGACTACGTGAACTCCACGTGCAAGGGAATCGTCTTACTATAATACCCCCTGAACTCGGGAATCTCGATATGACGTCAAATAAATCCGTTTTTAGGTTTGAAGGCAATGAATGGGTGGCTCCAATTGCAGATCAGTTGCAACTAGGAGTCGGTCATTTGATGGAATATTTACGAACAGAGGCTTACAGAATGTWTGTTACATCACWTTTAATTAATTRATTTTAATATTTTTATTTTCCAGAACGTATAATCGCTACTGTACCAATAAACCTCCAGTTCCACCACCTTGTGTTGATAAGGCAAAAAAGATATCCCGAATACGTTGACACTTAAATGCCATTTTTTACCTATTCTGATTAATTTACTAATTAACTAAAATGGAAAATACTGCCATTACACTAATTAAGTTTTTATTTTACTTTTGTGGCCTTAGGTAAGGAAGCTTTAAGTAAAAATAAATTGTATTTTACAATTTTTACAATATTAATGTTTTTAAGAACTAAATAAATAAATAACCAAATGTCAGTCTTAAAATCACTGCTCTTCATCTGTGTATTCACTTTCATCGTCTGTTAAATCCGTTGTATGGATCGACGTTTCATACTCTAGAATTTCTTCATCACTTAAATGCGAGTTCCCTTCAATAAACGACGCGAATCTGTGAAAAAACATTTCAGATGGCGCTACTTGTGGTAACTTGACGCACCTTTTGACATCTTTCAATTTCATAGCCACTTGCCATTGTTTACACTCAGGACTTGAGCAATATTTTCTCAAATCGTCTAAGGCTTTCGCCGTTTCTCTAACTCCTTGTTCATAATATTCGTCATTTGTTATTGGCTTAATTTTAGGTGGAAATCTTTTTTTCCTTGAAGAGGACAAAATATACATTAATGAAACAATTAAGTAACAACTCACGTTTGTTTTACAGCAAATTTTGAAAACACATGYAAACAATTAACAACTCACGTTTGTCTTACAGCAAATTTTGATAACACAAAATTCTTACCAGTATGTTTTTGGCTTTGAAAGCCACGTTGATGGCACGTTATGAAATAACAAAAGCGCAATGATTTGACCCATTGCRGCTTCCTGAAATTGGGTACTGAAAAACATTGCGATTAGACCRACCCCTTGGAGGGCCCAACGGATTAAATTGCGGCTTCTCTCGTTCTCTATSGGGCCCCATCTATAGCAAACTAATTGTAAAATTAKTTTTTGTTTGCAAAAATACCAATTATGACATACTTATGAAACTTAGAAAGCCAGTTATTAGAGTATACCATATTACGTAAATTTTGTAATTTAGTAAAATGACACGGACGTTATCCCATAAAAGTTGTATAAGGTAGATTCCTATCGACCATCCAAACGCGGCCACTCCATACATTATTGGTTTCTAAAATTAAAAAAATAGTCTTATGAAGCAAAAATCACATCAGAATATTTTACCCTGGGGAATAGTCTGCTAATTAAATAAATGAGAATAAGGAAAGAAGTACAAATTCCAAGCGAAATGCCACATATGTAATAAAATAAAGTGTTTCTGCTTAATTTGCTTGCTGAGAGAAAAAGTGTGATGCCCCCCAGTAATAAAAGAAATTTCCAGTAATCAATTCCTATGAAAAAGAAGAAAAATATTTTTTTTTACAAACATTTTTGTCTTCCCTTACTGATAACATTTAAAGTCACTGTGTAATTATCCCTGCTGTCAATTCCAATGCAGCTCTTGTTAAATGGATCTAAATGCATCTGCTTTTGCTTGTTTGTAAATAAGTTAAAATTCCAGCTGTATCTATTTGCATTAAATTCTTCCAAAACGACATCAGGTGAAGTGCCTTCAAATTGAGTATAATCACCAGATATATGATCCACCTGAAGCTTTACAAAACATTAGATAACAACTAAATAAGAAACCTTTTTTTTACTATGACACTTTGCCAAATGTGTATTAAATATTTCGGCTTCCCCACATAGCAAAAAATATGAAATTCTGGAGGCACCCTTTGAGTTCCAGCAGAGTATTTTTCCCCTTGATGCAAATAATGAACTTAAAATTGTAAAATTTAGAAAAGACAATTAACCTACAACTTGTACACATACCTTGGAAGGCCTTACACGTCGAACCGGCACTGAGTACCAAAAGAACAAAAGTAATGAAATGCATTTGCGTATAAATTTGAAAAATTCGAAGACTACAATATAATAATTTTGAGTGGATTTGTAATTTTTTTGATTTGTGATTTCGTTTTCCGTTACATTTTTTTGTTTGACAGTTTCCTAAGATATTCTACAACGCAAAAAACTCTAATAAAAAGAGTGAGAAGATACAATCTTAGGATGCTAAAGAGAGACACTAAAATAGTTTGCGCGTGACTAAAGTCACCAAATGAGAAAAGTTTTTTGGGCGGGTTTGTTTCAAATTCGAATTAAGTGAGGTTATGTAAGGGTGTTTGTATGTATTTGAGAAGTTAAAAAAATTAATGAGTGAATTTCTCGTGATACAAGGTAAGTGTGTACGAAACTACTTTTTCCTTATTTGTTTTCCCCAGTTGGTCAATGTGGCAACCAAATCGGCAGTTTTCTCCTACCTGAAATTCTCCAAGAGTATGATATAAAAATAACTAATGACTCTCCAGCGAAATCTAAACGCAATAAAGCGGAATTACAGCAATTCATGTCGAGTTTTTTTAATATAAGTTCATCAAGTACTACTTTCGAGACTTTGAGCGATTTATTGAGAAGTAAAGCAAAAGCGAGGGTGAGAATTTTTAACTTTTTTTTTCAAGTGAAGATGTTATATATTTTAGTTTTTATGCATCGATATGGAGGATAGTGTAGTCGCTAGATTCAAATCGGGAAAATTTCGCGAGTTATTTGATAGTAAGTCTTTGATCACACACTATCCTGGTTCTGGGAATAACTGGGCAGAGGGCTATTGTAGCCATGGYCCTAAATTTAARCAAAAAATTCTCAAAGCGATACAATACAACGTYGAGAAATGTAATCATTTACACGGGTTTTTAGTTTTATTTTCAATGGGGGGTGGCACAGGGTCAGGGCTAGGAACATTCATAGTAAAACTACTGGCAGATAATTTTCCAAACATAGACAGGTAGTTAAGCGGATTCTAGTTTTTATTAACGAAAAATTAGGTTTGTAGCTTGTGTGTATCCAACAGGCACAGAAGACGTAATTACATGTCCCTATAACATGGCTTTTGCCACCCAAGAACTACTAGAAAGTGCCACTTGTGTGTTTCCAGTTGAAAATAGAGCACTTCTAGACATTGCTTTGAGACACACAGGGCGATACAGTGCAAAAAATAAAACGTATTTCTCCCCGTCTAGACCATTTGAAGATATGAACAAAATTATCGTTGATATGATTTTACATTTAACGAGTGGTTCAAGATTTGGAGGAAAAATGAACATTGATATGAATGAGATTAACACAAATATGGTACCATTTCCCAAACTAAATTTCTTAGCCAGTGGTTATAGTCCTTTTAAATTAAAATTTTTTAACTCAAGCACAAACAGGTATTTTAATTTCTTTCTGGAATTGTTTATTACTGTTTTTGTTTCAGTGATCAATTAAAAAACGAACTATTTTTATCATCCTGTAGTAGAAACAATCAACTGATAAAAGTCGATCCTTTTGGTGGGTTTTTGCTTGTAACTTCAATTTAGTGTATTTTTTAGATTCCAGATTTATGGCGATGAGTCTAACTTTATTAGGAAGAGGAAATTATTCAATAAATGATATGAGGGGTTACATTGATAAGTTGAAAAGTAAATTACACTTTGCTTGTTGGTCAAACAAAGCTGTTAAAGTGGGATTATGTAATGTCGCCCCCAAGGGATTAGATTTTTCAATGTTTTCATTATGTAACACCTCATCAACGTCAAACTTATTTCAAGAGGTTTTAAGCCAATTTACGAAACTATACCAAAGAAAAGTATATGCAATATTTTTCCCTGTTTACATTATTAACAATTTTTTAGGCCCATGTTCACCATTACACTGCTATATCTGGGTTTAACTTTGATCAGTTTAAGGAATGCCAAAACAGCATTCATGATATAATTGAATTTTATCAAGATATCGGTCAGAGAAGAACCAAGTAGCTTGTTAACTTTTTAATTATAAAATATAAAACCAAAAAAAGTATTCACTTAAATTGTAAATCACATGAAAATACATCTCAACTACCATTATGTGCAATAAATGATCTACACAGACCTGTAGCTGATTTTAGCATATTTACATTTAGAATAATGAAGGCATATTTAATTTGTATGACTTGGAATTTGCGGCAAACCAAACTCATCAACTGGAATTCCATCCTGAAATTAAAAGTCATTATGGGAAATTAATTACCAGGTAATCACCTTGTTTTTATCTTTTTCCGATTCAGGTTTATCTTTAGGTGCCTCTGGTGCATTTTTAACATCATCCAAGTAACTAGTGTCATCATCTAGGGCAATTTCATCACCCAAGGCTTCTAATTCAGCAGCAAGATCATCCTCATCTAATTCAGGTGTATTGTAACTCCTACCAAGAGCTTCTTGGACCTCATCTGCTTGTTCCATCAAATCAGCCATCTCGTCTTGAACATCCTAAAAAATTCTAATAAATACAAGACACACTTAAACAACCCCTACATCAATATCATCAATGTTTATCTTTTTAAATTCCTTCTTCATCTGTTTCATCCCATCTTTCATAGCTACAACAGTGGTGTGCGTGTCTTTCAACGCTTGGTGGGCATAATTCGCCTGTTCCATGTTAAAACTCTGGCCTCTTAAATTGTCCAGTTGTTGCTCATACATTTTCTTTTGTTTTAAGATCCTCAGTGCTTTAGCTTTAATTGCGTTTTTTCCTGGCCCCTCCCTCATTTTAGACATTTGATCTCTGAATTTCCGGAGATCATTTTCCAAGGTTTGTATTTTCTTTTCAACATTTGCTGCTCGTTGATCCACCTTGGGAATAGTAACAATTTTAAAGATTAATATGGGGTGACTAAAGCACTTACCCCCGCAATACAGTCCGTTATACTAGGGCCAGGTTCTTTCGGTTTGCCTCTGCCGAATAATCGATTCATTTTCAACTAGTTTTTATCTGTTTTTCACTTTTTTAATAATAATAGGTGATTCACTTTTTTATTTTCTGCATAAAATTACCACGACCTTGAGTTTGACGTTTGACAAAACTGTAGAATGTCAAAACTGATGCTAAGGTTGCGGTAAAGTCACTAGAAACTATCGTTTCTAGTGACTTTAGGTTGCGTTTTTCATGCAATTATTTAAGAGGAAATATTAAACGTTTACAGAAAGATTTTGCCTTTTCCTTTATTAAATTTTGTGTTTACACTTTGGTATTTTAAATAATAAAACACGTTTTAAAGCAAGTAGCTAAAGATCCAAAGTGCAGGCGGGAAATTTGAATAAAGAATAGCTGATAAGTTATTGACGCAGAAGATTCTCACATAAATAAATAAATTTGTCCATTAATAATTCTGTTATTTTATAAATTAAAAACAATCTTTGGTCGTTTAATTGACTTTATGTGTTTCTAGAATAGTTTTTTGATTAAAATCAAGACAACGGAAAACATCAGTTATTTATGATTTCTTATGACTTGGAGATAAAACAAAAGGTTATCTTCTGTTTTTTAACACTTGAATTATGAATAATTGTTCATTTGTTCAAAATATACAGGTCAGGCCTTCATTATTAATATTTGGTTCAAATTTTTTTCGATTTACCCAATTGGCTAGGTATTTCGCAGATATGAAAGTTGAAAACAGTTTATTTTTGTCTGAAAATTATAACACTAAACGGAAAAAAAATCTTTCAAGTTCTATAAAAATAATAAATCAGTGCCGACCCTGTCGCAGTCCCCCCAACTTTCACTTTATAAATCTTCGACTAATTTTTCACCTCCAGTCTTCATTCCACCAACATGCGTTTAAGATTAGGTGACATTGTGCCCAATTTCAAAGCCGAGACAACCCAAGGCCCTATCCAGTTCTATGACTGGCAAGGCGACAAGTGAGTACTTCCCCTATTTACCACTTTTGGTAACTTTGTTTCTAGATGGGTAGTTTTATTCTCCCATCCGGCCGACTTCACGCCGGTTTGTACCACCGAATTGGGGCGCATTGCTGTCCACCAGCCCCATTTCGCCAAACGCAATGTCAAACTCCTTGCACATTCATGTGACAAACTCAAAGATCACGTTGATTGGGTTAATGATATCAAATCGTATTGCCGCGACATTCCCGGGGAATTCCCCTATCCTATAATTTCAGATGAAAAGCGCGAGTTGGCTGTGATGTTGGATATGATTGATCAGCAGCATAAAGACGATGCACAGAGAGCACTAACAGTGAGAGCCCTCTATATTATAGACCCCAAGCACGTCTTGAGACTTTCCWTGCATTATCCTCAATCAACCGGTCGGAATGTGGAGTAAGTGGGCTGAAATTTGGGTGATTGACTCTAATTGGTTTTTAAGTGAAATTTTGAGGGTCATTGACTCATTGCAATTGGTGGATAGGGTACCACAAGTGGCGACTCCTGCCAACTGGGTACCGGGAGAAAAAGTTATGATTTTRCCAACAGTCAARGAGGAGGAAGCCCAAAAAATTTTCGCTGGAAAAGTTGATAAGGTGTCTATGCCTTCAGGCATTGTCTACGTGCGCACCACTACCAATTATCAATAATCATTTCAAAATAAAAATTACGATTTCAAAGAGCCTTTTATTTGAAAAACCTACAATACATTAACATCCTTCACATTTTACCATTTTGTTAGCACAGTAGTGAGGTAACTGAATTCCTTTCAGTAGCAGGTCCGTATAGTCCTAAAATGTCATAAAAAGGAAAACTGTTAGTACTGAGTTTGGGACTTACCGAGCAAGCGCTTATACACACTGTGAAAGGGTAAAATATGATGTACCAAAATGAACAGAAAAAWGCAATGATGAAAGAAAAATAAAGAGCAATGAACCAAATTATACAACAAAGCGGATTTTTGGCCATTTTGTCTCAGACTGAAACGTCACTTTTGTTTATTTCATAAAAACCATAGCACCAATAAAAATTTTATTAAATAATTTTTGCTAAAATGCTATCACATTCATGTTTAGGAAAATTTACATAATTGCATGAAAAAGTTTCGGAAAAACTGTYCAAAAACARAGGAACTACTTCTTCCACAGTCACATGCCTATTTAATTCTTTGGATAGACTCGTCACACCTTTACCCTCAATGCCACATGGTACAATATGGTCAAACCATTTCAAATCATTGCAACAATTAAGAGCAAGGCCATGTGAGGTCACAAATCGACTCCCATGTACCCCAATGGCACAAATCTACAAAAAATGTTATCACACTGAAGAGAAAAAAAAAACGATTATTGCCTTATTATCATTGACCCAGACCCCTGTATGTGGTGAAGTCTCCGCCTCAATTCCCATTTTCCTACACAACCGTATCACAGTTTTCTCAATATGGCACACATACCACCTCATACTCGGCTTGAAATCTTTCAAATTGAGGATAGGGTAAACAACTAATTGGCCGGGGCCATGAAAAGTAATCAATCCGCCTCTGTCTGTCCTGTGGAACTCCGCTCCTGGATAAAATATATTAGCATTTTAACTTTTCAGGAATTGTAGGCCACCTAAAGCCTCTAATTCTTGTGCTACAGCTTGGGGGTACTCCTTGGTGCGAATTCCAGTGGTGTAGACAGGGGGATGCTCTAGACACAAAAGCGTGTTTGCAAGTACGGAYTTTTCATGGTGTAGGTGGACGAGATGTTTTTGTAATTTTAAGCCTTTTGTGTAGCTTAAACGGCCGATTTGCCACACTTTTACTAACTTAAGCATGGTTTGAGGTTATGGTAACGACATACTTAGGCGGAGCGTCAAGGGGACAAAATAGAGTGATAAGGATTTGCAATAGTTTAAATGTGCGTSAAAGTGGTTTATTTGAAGAAATTTGCAACAAAAATAAGTTAACTAATTTCAATATAAAGTGTTTACACAAGCAATAATACACTTGTGTAATGTTGGTTGCCGGAACAATGATTTTTTTTGCAAATTTAATAATGACTGTATAATAAAAGAAATTAAATTCAGGTATCAGTCATTAACCCCAAGACCGGTTTATATGAACACTGATCTTTTCATTTGTTTTTTTTTGTAGATGCTGTAAATTTTTATTAAAAAAGTTAAAATTTTTGTATGTAATACCACTGSTAATACAACTATTACCGTGTCTGCAGAATTAAAACAAATAACACCAGAGTTCATTGCCCATTTTTTCTACTACTTTACTTCTAATCAAGTGTTCATAAAAGTGAATCCATTGTAAGTTCGATTTTCCGATTAAAATTTAATGGAACAAATCTGTGTCTCCATTAGTACAATTAAATTCCTACAAAATTCCAAATTAGTATTATGTATCCCTGAGAATTGTAACGCATGCGTTAAATATTTCYTTCTCTTTTTATTTTGTTGGTGTTCTTTTCTCTCCCATTTAATAAACGTTTGGTATTTTATCCGTAGCTTCTGACATTCAAATTGATGATTGTGTTGAACCTGAAGAAAACGTGCGTCTGGTTTAAACCCGCTTTGTTGTAGTGTAAACGTACAGTTTGTAGTGGAATGAGTGAACCTTTAAAGTCGGCACTGAGTGTCACGTGATTTTTATTTTGTTTTATTTACACAGGTAGTTTTGATTAGGGTATTTTTAAATTTTTGGTATCGCACGGTTAGTGTTGTCAGCATTACAATGCATTTATTATTTTTCCTCTTTGCAAAAAATGATAATATTTTTTTTATTGAAAAATAATAATTTTTAATGTTAAATAAATGTCACGTGTTTGGCGTGGGAAAGTTGTGCGCCACTGATCAATTTTTTATCTGGACCAAGGTGGTGGACTGATTAAGCAAGATTTAAAAAAATGTTTATTAATTAAATATTAAGTCTAAGTCTACGCCACTGATCTTATTATCTGGATCAAGGTAGATTAGGGCCAGCCTTCCAGTAAGTAAATGACAAGACAAGTTTATATTTTTATAAAGATTTAAAATTAAACGAATCTATTATGAGATAAAATTATCACTTCATTTACATTTCGTCATTATGAAAAATCCATAAATGTATCAAATTTTAGTTTCAACAATCTTTCGTAATTTATGTGAGATTACTTAATATTTAATGAAGAATTTCCGTTGCTGCCTCTTGTTTACAAATGTTCCGAATCAGACTAGATTTCAAGTTCTAGCTAACATAAAACTTAATTGTTTAAAACAATAGAAAAAAATTAATTGTTACGTAATGGTATATTTTCAGGCTGTTAATATACGTATCTATGAATATAGTCTGGACATTTTTAAGGTGCTTAAAGCGTGCCAAAATGATTTCAAAACATAACTATAAAATATACTRTGTTGAAAGAATTGTCCTCTTATTGTTCCAATTGATTACAATTTGACGAAATTGTTTATCGCCAACTCAATTTTTATTACACTTGTGGATTATTATTACTTATATTAAAAATATGCAGCATGACAACGTGCTTTTAAAATTGACCCAAATTTCCAGTCTTTTAGTCAAATTATATCTTATCACATGTCAGCTGCTGTTGCAATTTGCAAACAGGAATTGATTAATTTTTCATGTTATCACAGATTTAAAATCAGATTATAATGTGGTACAGGTGTTTGTATTTTGTTATTATTAGCGACATTGTAAAACTAATTTACAAATTTATATCGTAATTTTTACCCAGCCTTTGCAATTATCCTTCACGTATCCATTAATTAATTCTGCATGAACAACAGCAAATATGTGACCTTGAGTGATAACGATTTGTTATTATTTTGTTTCGTTCTTGAAATATCCATTATATTACTGCGACCATTTTAAAGTTTTTCTGTTCTCATAACTGAAGACATTGAGGTAAAATCGACAAGCTTTTGATCGATAAGCCTTGACATTATTGCGATAACGCGGTCAATGTCTTTGTACATATAATGCGATTTTTAAAAAGAATTTTCTACTAAATGAGCAAAATAGGAATTTTTGTCCTATTCATTTAGGACAGTATGACAAGCCACGCTACCGAGTTTAATTAATTAACCTTTGGCACAACCACATTTCATGTTTCTCCACTTCTCTTAATAAAGAGTATAAGGGAGGGGTCATCGATTTTTCCAATAATGTGCAGGCAATAAAATATGTACTTTTATGTTTTAAGTGCATGTACTTTGAGGAAATACACAAACATTACTAACGATGCAATTTTATAAAATGTTAACAGTWGTGGGGAAATATTTTGATTTTTGTTAACAATTGTTTGTGTTTGTATTTGAAGCTATTTGTGTTTGTAGATCGATAATTATTCTAAATAAATGATGAAATTTTAATGCTAGTTTTCCTATAAAAACTGTCGAATATAAATTGTGCCTTCTTGTAATTTTACTGATATCATGAAAAAAATAGTTGCGAGAGAACAAGTAAAACTGATTATTTTATTTTTCTCAGATGGTCATTTCATAACGCTTAGTCGGGCTTTTCTTTGACAATGATTGTATTACATTTCTTTTATCAGTGATATATCTTACAGCAGCTGTCTGAAGAAAAGAAACAAGAGTCGTAAAAATTTATCGCGAAATAAACTCTTCCACTTTATTAACTATCATCCAAACAGTTATATTTAGTCGGTTCATTAGGCGAAAACAATAGTAGGGGAGAAATAAATTCTATAAATACGAGATAAGCTCTGTTGCSTTRCACTGCTTTTCGATATTTTCGGAAATTATCATGAAATGTTTGACACAAAGTGCTACAATACGATCTGTGTTGGATATGTTATTAAAACACGAAAGAAGTTTATTTGAACGAAACACTTTGATCTAAAAATTTCAAAGTTGATGTTACGTCAATATTTCAGTAAAATAGAACCTAAATTGGGTAAACTTTCATATGTTTACACAAGGGAATACATATTTGACATGTTGAAATCCTTTATGATGAACAGAACAAACTATTACGCAAATAAAATTACTATTTTTTTGGACTTTGCAATTCGGGAAAATATTTCATTGTATCAAATCTGTGATCGATTGTTAATTGTGTGATATGATTTGATTTTGGCTTTTTTATTGTTACTTGAAGTAGATTGTTGTTACGTTTGTTTGCACGTTATCATGTGACAATTTTGTGTGAGTCGACTAAGGTTTCAGTTATCCAGTATCAAAGTGAGGTAGGTGACAGCAAGGCGGTTAGACTTATCACAGGGGAAAGGTTTGTGTTTTTTAATTTCATTACATCCAGTTTGCGTTTGTAACTTTCATTATTTCCGCTGCAAAATTAGCTACAATTATTAAATTTGAATGTTTTCAAGGCTCGAAAGACATCAATTGATGTGGCGGAAATCATGAGACTCCATGCACGTGACTGCACTCCCAAGGAACGATTTTTACTTATTTTTAATCTTTCGTTAGTAAAATTTCCAGTCTGCTTGTTTTTCCAAAATAAAAATTAATTRCTTATTATACTGCAGTAAATTAATTATTTTTATTGATCTTAATTGCACGATAGGTCCTGAAAAATAAGTCCATACTAATAAGAATTSTGTCATAAAATGATTATTACCAGACTTGTACTTTACTGCTTCTATAACCATATTAAACGGGCAAAGTCACGAGATTGTCGTAAAAATGTCGGAAACACCTTTGTTTAACATAAATTTTAAAATATCTGAAATCAGACAGCACAAGTTTTGTTTTGATTTTRAGTCAGACAAGATAATGGATTTGCGAGGATTATGTCTAAATTCTTTTCGAAATTCCAATAATAGTAAATTAATCTATTCGAGGAAAAGATGTATTTTTTCAAGTAATAAACATTCTGATAATATGTTTGTTTGCAATAAAAAAGAGTGAGAATATTTGCCTTGATAAATTTTATAGGATAGGATAGGATGTGCTCTAATACCAATGTTTGGGCGAAAATTTTTTTAGAACAAACAAGGGATTTTTCTTTTTTTTTTCTATTATAATTTACTTGAATAAATTCGAAACAGCATAGACAAGAAACAAAATTTCAAGTCACAAATGCCAAAATAGCATGTCATAAAAATGTCAGAACCGCACCTTCACCCWTTTTTCCGAATCTTCAATCTGTTTTCGAAAACTTAACGCATATCACAGACAATAAAAATGACAAGTTTGAGTGGAACATCTTAGTTGAGATTAGCAGAGATAGAGTTTAATCCTCAATTATTGAAACTAATTTTTTAGAAAGTAAAACCGCCTCAAAATGGGGGATATGTTCCGAAGTGAGCAAATGGTACTTGCTCAACTTTTCATYCAACCTGAAGCTGCATATTTCGCCATATCTGAATTGGGTGAATCCGGGATAGTACAATTCCGAGACGTAACTTTTCCTTCTTTTTTTTCCTTAAATATTCAAGTTCTTTTTTAGTTGAACGAAAATGTGAACCTCTTTCAACGAAAATTCGTAAATGAGGTTCGAAGATGCGACGAGATGGAACGCAAACTTCGCTACATCGARGCAGAAGTGAAGAAAGACAATGTTGCGATTCCTGATCAGTCTGAGCTTCCCAAAGCACCAAATCCGAGAGAAATCATTGATTTAGAAGCTCATCTTGAGAAAACCGAAGGTGATATCAAGGAATTGTCCGAAAGTGCGGTTAATTTGAAGTCTAATTATCTGGAATTGATCGAATTGAAGCAAGTGCTTGAGAAGACCCAAGCTTTCTTTAACGAGCAAGACGAAGCTAACGGTTTAGATTCGGCCCATAAGGCCCTAATCAATGATGAAAGTCACAATGTGTCTATTAGGGGTCGTTTGGGATTCGTTGCTGGTGTTATCAACCGAGAACGGGTCCCAGGTTTCGAGAGGATGCTTTGGAGGATTTCCAGAGGAAACGTTTTTTTGAGACAGGTTGAAATTGAAAAACCTCTCGAAGATCCAGCTACAGTAAGTCATAATTTTTGATATTTCAAACTCTAACACTACTTTCAGGGGAACCAACTCTACAAAACTGTCTTTGTTGCTTTCTTCCAAGGCGAGCAGTTGAAAACCAGGATTAAGAAAGTGTGTGCTGGGTACCACGCCTCGCTCTATGCTTGTCCAAGCTCCCTGCAAGAACGAAACGAGATGCTTAAAGGWGTTTGCACTAGATTGGAAGATCTGAATTTGGTACTAAACCAAACGCAAGACCATCGCCAACGAGTGTTAGTAAGTGTGGCCAAAGAGTTGCAAAATTGGAGTGTCATGGTTAGCAAAATGAAAGCTATTTACCACACTTTGAATTTTTTTAATATGGACGTGACGAAAAAATGCCTAATTGGGGAGTGTTGGGTCAGCAGTAAAGACATTCCAGTTGTACAAAAGGCTTTATCRGATGGTTCAGTACGTCCTTTTAACTTGGGATGAATCATTTTTTAATTAGTTTTTTTAGAGTGCTTGCGGCAGCTCGATTCCATCATTTTTGAACGTGATTAACACGAATGAGGATCCTCCGACATTCAATAGAACCAATAAATTTACTAGAGGGTTCCAAAATTTGATTGACTCATACGGAGTAGCATCATATCGGGAAGCTAATCCTGGTTTGTAATCAAAAAACGTTGGTACAAGTCTTAAAAATTTAATTTTAGCCTTGTATACTATCATCACTTTTCCATTTTTGTTTGCTGTAATGTTTGGTGATGTTGGACACGCGATGATCATGGCCCTGTTTGGGGGCTATTTGGTTGTTTCCGAGAAAAAAATTATGACTAAGAAGAGTAATAACGAAATTTTCAACATTTTCTTTGCTGGGAGATACATTATTCTTCTCATGGGTCTCTTCTCGATGTACACTGGTTTTGTCTATAATGATATTTTCTCAAAGTCTATGAACATATTTGGGTCAAGTTGGTTTGTCCAATTTAATAAAGAGCAAGCTTTGGAGTTGGATGAACGTGATTTGGACCCTCGCTATGACTATACTGGTACTCCCTACTTTATTGGAATGGATCCAGCTTGGCAATTGGCTAAAAATAAAATTATTTTCCTAAATTCGTACAAAATGAAATTGTCTATAATTTTTGGAGTAGTTCATATGATTTTCGGTGTATGCGTCAGCGTTGTCAATTTTGTGTAAGTACCAAAATTTGAACTTGCATCTAATCCCAAAAATAGCCATTTTAGGAAATATTCAAGCATCTTTTTGGAATTTCTCCCACAAATCCTCCTTCTTTGCTTCCTCTTTTTATGGATGGTCGTTATGATGTTCATGAAATGGATTCTTTACTCGGCCGACTTGGGCAAACGTACTATGCCCCCTCTTGACTCTTCCCAAATTAAATMATTTTTTTAGCTGTGGAGTTGGGTACTTCTTGTGCTCCCAATGTTCTCATCTACTTCATCAACATGATGTTATTCAAAGCGACAGAATCACCAGAAGGTTGCAAAGACTACATGTTTGAAGGTCAACAAACCGTCCAACAAATCTTAGTTTTCTTATCATTGATTTGTATTCCGGTACTGCTGCTGGGCAAACCTCTTTATATTAAATGTACGAGGAAGAGCAAGCCCCACGTGCGCAGCAATGGTGATGTTAACCAAGGAATGGAGTTGGGAGAATATCCCGAAGCTCAGCAAAACGCAGCTGCTACATCACAAGGAGACGAAGAAGAAGAAGAGCCGATGAGTGAAATCTTTATACATCAAGCAATTCACACAATTGAGTACGTTTTGAGTACTATTTCACACACCGCGTCCTATTTGCGGTTGTGGGCCTTGTCTTTAGCTCATGCACGTGAGTTTGTTTTTAGTAAAAATAGGAAAAACAGGTTTATTATTTTTTTTACAGAACTTTCAGAAGTATTGTGGAGCATGTTGTTTAGGATGGGTTTAACAAGTAGTTCTTATGTTGGTGCAATAACAGCTTTTGTATTTTTCGCTGCGTGGGCAGCTTTTACGATAGCCATTTTAGTCACAATGGAAGGTCTATCAGCGTTTTTACACACTTTGCGTTTACATTGGTAAAATTTCAAGAATTTGAGTGAATTGTTTTGTAATTTTATTTTTACAGGGTCGAATTTATGAGTAAGTTTTACGCCGGTTTAGGATACCCATTCCAGCCATTCAGTTTTAAAGCTATCCTCGAGGAAGAAAATGCCCCAGAGGATTAACACTTATCTGCTTTATATTTAGATAGTGCGCAAATAGAATAGCAGCAAATATAAAATACTTGTTAAAAGTTTGTTTTATTTTTCACTATCCGAATATACTTACTCGTACTATTTTACTTTGATAAAAATGTAAAAAACATATAAAAAACAGAATAGATTAAAAAAGGAATAATTTTAATTACCTGCTTTAATAATAATTTAAAAAACAATAACAATAACATTGGGTGTATGAACGCACTACAGCGCAAAAAATACTTTATGGGTAAAGCAGATGCTACCTTTTTAAAGCAAATACTATACTTCTGGGAACAAAAGACTACATTTCTAGTAGCACATATTTCTCCATATTAGTACCTACTTCGAAGGAGGAGTGGAGGGAACTCTTGTTTCTTCCGTTTATTCAAATTCAAAGTAAATGCTTTGAGCAAAAGTAGTTTTCTTCAGCGAGTACAATTTTGTTGAAAAATTTACTACGTTTTTGGAGTATTAGCATTTACTACAATTTGATTCATACCACCTATTTTTTTAAAATTTAGCCAACCAGATAAGAGTATCATCGAGTACTAGTGTAATACCCGGGTATTTGTTTATATGTACTTGTGCAAATACCTAAAAATGCAACCTTGACAATAATCTAATAAACCCAAATTTTATTAACTAAAACTACAATTAGTAGGTACTCGTAATAGTAATGAGATGCAGTGACAATAACATGTTGACAATGAATAAATGTGCAATTTTTTTCGTATTTATATCCTTCGTGCACGCCAAATACAAATATGAATGTTTCAGGTATTTGACGTGCACCTAAGTTTAGACCTTGATTTTTTATTAGAAGACTGTAAATATTCAATTATTAATGTGTGAGAATTGGGGAGTCAGAAATCTAGTTCTGGGTCGTTGAGAGTCTGAGAAAAATTGCAATTTAATATGTAAAAACAACAATAACTACTTCCTATTCCTAGCCTTGACTTTTGGAATTTTCTTATCACGTAAACTAATAGGTTAAACAAGATATTATACCATAAGTTGTTTATCAAGATTTATCGTTTCTCCCTTGTTGTTTCAAACACCCCATACACGAGCAAAAATTAATACAATTTAACAATTGTAACCTTGACCTGTTAGTGAATTTAAACCAACGGAAATGATACGTCCAGAAGTTGTCTCATGATTTATTATCTAATGTGTCGCTTGTCCGTTTCAGTGATGTTTCAAGGCGCTGAAACGCTGAATTATGAACTTTTTGCTCCACTTACCAATAATAAAATTTTGAATGCATTGATCAGGTGGTGAAAAGTTGTCGGTTGAGAGTTTTTTTTTCAGATGCATCTAGTTTGACTAGAGCTTTAAAAAGGGGTGCATTGGATACAATAGAATCTCCCCCATCCCTTTTCGTTTGAATTAGTTCTGTCACGTTTGGTCTATGATTTGTATTGAAATTGTTTAGGGACGCCATGCGCAATCTAGCGCCAAGCTTTAAATTCAGTAGTATTTTAGCCTACAACGCCGAAAGACGCAAAGTACAAAGTTGTGGTGTTTTGGGTATTTTGATAAGAGTGATAAAAGGGGATCATGTCTTAGGCGGCCCCAAAGGATCAAAATAAAAAGGTATGTAAGGTATAAAATCTTGATATTTTTTTTATTTTCATGTAATTTTCTTTGATATTAAGCGAGCTGTGTAATTTAATTACAGTTTAGTAAAGTTTAGCAATCAACTTTGAACTACCTTTGATTCAATTTTAAATTATTTCGTCTTGCAGATTCTAAACAATTTTTAATTAAATGAATGAGATCATTGTGGATGAAGAGGAAGATAATTTATTGCGTGAGACAAATGAAGCGGTCGGAAAAAAATGGAATATAAATCATTTTGTTTATGACAAGCTATTCAAATAAAGTTTTTCTGATTCTTTTTTAACCACATTTAAGTGCACTTGCAGTTTTACTAATTAAATTGAAAAAAAAATTATTTGTTATGGTTTGATAATTAATTATTATATTTACAAAATTCTTTGCGTCAAAATTTAGATAAGTTTTATAAATAACTAAATTAGGTAATATGAAGAAATTTATTTTTAAAAAAACGTGTATCACGAGTGGTGCGTAAAAGGTCATTTAATTTACATTTTCTACGAAAACATTTTTTCTACTGTCACGACATGTGTGTAAAACATATAGGACAAATGTTCGAGTATATAACCATATGCAAGAAAAGTGACACCATTATTGTGGTATAAATTAAATTGGAAGATTATCAAACTTATAGTGAATTATGAGAAAAAATAGAATAGAAAAATTTGGTCGTGATTGACTTAAAAGTAAACCGAAAAGACCAGTTAAATAAGCAAAGTTATTTCCGAATGGAATCTTCTTTGAACTAAGTATTTTGTGTTTAAAAATCTTTAAAATGCGTAATAATTTTTGAACGGAAGAGCAATGCGGGTGGCACGCCCCTATCTCATTTGTATGTATTAAATTACGATCTGTCATAAAAGAAATCTTACACTCAATTGTAATGAAACTTCATCATTCTCTTCCTGTTTTACGCAGTTCCTTAACCACCCACAGGATAATGAAATACGAAGTAATGATTTACGTCCAATTAAGTTTATGAAAAATTCAAATACTTAGTTAGTTTTGTCTCATTAATGGGTAATTGCGTTTAATTCCATAATGAAAGCTCTCTTGTTCGATTAATTTGTTTGTTTACGTCGAGTAAACCTAAGAAAATACAAGGCATGTAAGAAAATTTATAGTGGACTAGTTATAAATACCATCTAGGTTATGACCTAGTAAAGTTAAATATAAATTTCTCATTAACTATAAAATTTTAGGCATGACCCATGCTCGCGAAGATTTTGCCGTAATGGAAGCAACAGTTACAACGTTTGGCAAACAGAAATTTGTAGCGGTTTCGAAAGCTCTAGCGCTTTTTATTTTTATTCTTTTCCTGGGATGTATCGTCGCGACGGGGCTCTTAGTCTACCACTTATCATCGTGTCAACCGATTTCAAAGTTTGAAGAAACCACTTTGATAGTTTACGACAAGCATTCGGATTTGGAAGTTACAACGACAAGTGAGGAAGTTGTAACTGAATCGGTGGTTACAACAACTGAAGAAATAAAGACTGAATTTGAAGATGTTAGACTACCCAAATCGATCAAGCCGCATTCCTACACTATTAGACTTATCCCTTTCATCTTCGAAGGAAATTTTACGTTCCACGGAGAAGTTACAATTCTTATCAACGTAACTGTTACAAGTTTGAATATTACTTTACACGCCGATGATTTGGACATAGATCATGTTAATGTCTACGACTTGAATAATAAATTACTTTCAATTAGACAAGTCTCTAATGAGACTCGTCGCCAATTCCTGATAATCCATCTAAACGAACCGGTGAAATCCGGTCACCAGTATTATGTCAGTATAAAATTTAGGGGAGTTTTGAACGACCTGCTTCAAGGTTTTTATCGAAGTTCTTACAAAGTCAATAATGAAATCAGGTAGTAATTTATTAAGTAATACGATTTGTTTAACAAACGAGTTAAAGGTGGATTGCAACAACTCAGTTTCAAGCAACAGACGCTCGAAAAGCATTTCCTTGTTTCGATGAACCAGCTCTAAAAGCCCGTTTTCAAATCAGTCTCGCTAGACTTGGAAACATGACTTCGATCTCAAATATGCCAAAAATTGGAAACCCCGAACCTGTGTAAGTCTCAACTGATTTAAAATCCCCTGAATCAATTACTATTTTCAGTAAAAATCTCCCAGGCTACTTATGGGATCACTACGAAGAAAGCGTCCCAATGTCCACCTATTTGATTGCTTTTGTAATCTCCGACTTCGAGTGTCACAAAAACGGGACTTTTTCAGTATGGGTCCGTCGTAGTGCCCTTTCACAAACCAAATACAGTCTCCAAGTCGGACCTCAAATTTTACAATTCTACGAAAATTTCTTCGGAATTAAATATCCTCTCCCTAAGATAGACATGATCGGACTTCCGGATTTTTCCGCGGGAGCTATGGAAAATTGGGGTTTGATTACATACCGAGAGTCGGTTTTGTTGTACGAAGAGAAGGTCTCAAGTAAGGGAAGTTTGCAAAGAATCGCCCATGTGATTGCACACGAATTGGCTCATCAGTGGTTTGGGAATTTGGTGACTCCGGTTTGGTGGTCAGATTTGTGGTTGAATGAGGGGTTTGCGACTTATGTGGAGTGTTTAGGGGCTAATGCGGTTAGTACAAATGGAGGTTGGGGTTGTTAGCAATTTTCGATTTTAGGTCAATCCACATTTGAAAGAATTGGACCAGTTTGTTATTAATGAACTTCATGGAGCTTTCGTTTTAGATGCTTTAAAGACCTCACATCAAATATCAATCAAAGTTAATAATCCTGATGAAATCAATGATATTTTTGACCGAATTTCCTACTCCAAAGGTGAGAAGAATACTATTTTGAATTTTTATAACGATTCAGTTTAGGTGCGTCAATTTTACGAATGATGCAACACTTCTTATCAATGCCAGTGTTTCAAAAAGGTTTAAACGGATATTTGAAAAGTCAGATGTATAAAAATGCCGAACAAGACGATTTGTGGCACTCTCTGACTTTACAAAGTCATGAAGATAAAGTCCTTGATCAAAATGTGACAATTAAGGAAATAATGGACACTTGGACTCTTCAAACTGGTTTTCCTTTAGTCACAGCTCACAGAAATTACGAGAATGGTTCAGTAACATTCACCCAAGAACGTTTTTTAATTACTGATGATAATAAAAGTGCAAAATCGGTTTTGTGGTGGATACCCATCACATACACAAATTCGAAAAATGTTGTAATTTCAAATTGGATGCGTAACGAACCGTTTTTGACAATTTACAATTTAAATCAATCGAAGAATGATTGGCTACTTGTCAATGTTAACCAAACTGGTTACTATAGAGTGAATTATGATCAAAGAAACTGGAATTTGATTATCCAACAATTGCTAAAAAAGAACGGTCACTTGGTTTTTGACCCCAAAAACAGGGCTCAACTTCTAGATGATGCTCTTCATCTGGCTTCTGTTGGTTATCTAGACTATAATATTGCTTTAAATGTTACCAAATATCTGAAACAAGAACGGGAATACGTTCCGTGGAAAGCTGCCCTTACTAGTTTAGATTTCATGTACCAAATGTTTGTACGAACAGCTCATTTTGATAAGTTTAAAGTGAGTTGTTTGTAGTTAGTTTTATCATAGCTTAATTTTAATCAATTTTAGAAATATCTTCTAGATCTAGTGAATGACTTTTACCATGAATTGGGTTTCAACGAAAATGAAAATGATCAACATTTGACCTTTTACAATCGTTTCGAAATCAATAGTAGAGCTTGCAAATTAGGAGTTCACGATTGTATTATCAACGCAGTTCAGCAGTTTGAAACTTGGAGGAATTCCCCAGACCCTGATAAACGCAATTTGTGAGTTTTATGACCAAAAATTTAGATTTTTTTATATCTGCGTCTAGGATATCAGCAAATTTACGTGAAATCGTATATTGTGCTGCTATCAGTGTCGGAGGCCAGGAGGAATGGGATTTTGCATGGAAACGCTATTTAAACGCTAACGTCGAAAACGAAAAAGAAATTCTTTTGATGGCTCTTGGATGTTCGAAAGAAATTTGGATTTTGAGCAGATATCTCGAATGGGCGATTACTGAAAATTCAGGTATTCGTAAACACGATTCTGCCCGTGTTTTTGCCGCCGTTGCTAGTAACCCAATTGGGCAACAATTGGCGTATAGGTTTTTAAAAACTCATTGGAATCGATTGAGGACTTAGTGAGTTTTGTTTAAATTCTTGGGTGTTTTCTTTAATTTATGTTTTAGTCTTGGCACCTCTTCCATGTCTTTGAGTATTATAGTCAGAAGTTGTACTGCCAAGTTTAATAGTCAGATAGAAATTGATGATGTAAGTTCTTCAATTCTCCAATTAATAAATGTAAGAGATTTTTTTCAGTTTAAATTGTTTGTTGATACGAGGGAAAACGAGTTTGGTGTTGCTTTAAGAACAGCAAGACAGTCGATAGAGCAAGGTGAAGCAAATGTTAAATGGATGATGAGACATTCGGAGAAAATTTTTGAGTGGCTTAGTGCTAATGTCTAAGTGATTTTAATTGTATTATTGGTTTTTATTGAATCAAATTGATTTTGTAATGAAATAAACACTCAGTTTTTTTATTTTTTATATTGATGAATTGTGAAACTTGATTTTAACAATCGTGTACTTTTAAATCAAAGTTGTACTTAGATACTTTAACTTTAAATAAAAGTTTAAAGTTACTTGCGTTTCATTTAATAGTGATGAATTTTTTGGTGAGATCCAACATACACTATATTGGTCTTGTCTTGATTCTTATACAAAATTTGGATATTTTCAATCAATAAAAATATAAATTCAGTGGCACTAATAAAGCTGATTCCTAAAAATAAAGCCAATGTGCCACCAAAAGAGACTAAAAAATATTTTTTTACTATTTGCATTTAACGAATAAGTAGAAAAAATACCAACTAAATCTTCAAAACCAAAAAGAACGTCTCGATGAAACTTTGTAGTAGGGGCTAAAAGGGCCCACCTAAACGTCATTCTTTGTTCAAAATATCCGTATTCCCTACAAAATCATGCTTTTGTCAAAATTCTACTTTTGCACTAACTGACCATTTGGTAAATTTGGGAACTTGAGGAAAATAAATTATAATATTGCACGGTTGCGGACAATTGCAGCCAATTTGGCTCGGACGTCTGGTGATATAATCAGAATGTTGGGCCAAACAGAGGAGACCTTTCATATCGCATTCTTTACCACCGAAATTGTGATAAAAAATCGGTCGACAACCACACAATTTTAAGGCAAGTTTATAGCGACATTCCATGTAACATAAGCTGCTGCTGTAAACTGGCAACTCATCAGAAATAGGTTCATTGTAAAAGCGGCATCTTCGTTGCGAAGGTGAGAGGTCATGGAGAGCTAGAGAAGATTCAGTTTCTTGCATTCTGTAATTAATTTCGAGTTCTTCGCTTTCGTGGACTACGAGAGGCGGGTCAATGGTGGCATGGGCTACTTCCAAATACGAATGTGTGTAATACTAGACAAGTGTGAAAAAAACTATAATAAAATTAGTTTAAAAAATACCAACTTTTATAGGAAGGTCAGGATCCGAGTCGTATCGAGCGTAGCACAAACCGTTCAAATAGTGGCATCTTAAAATTCGTTGAGTCACAACTGAAGTTTTATTGTGGCTAAAACTTGTGTTATATTTTTGAAAACAACAAGCTTGTACATACTTGAGTGATAATAAATCAACAAAAAGAGAATTAACCGAGAAACACATCCCTAACTCTGACATAATTAGATTCCATTTTGTTTTATGTTTGGTGTCAAATGTAACTAAAGTTCCTGAAAGGTCAGGATGCACCTGAAACCAATCAAGGTATAATTTATTTTTAAGAAATTTTAAACTAATTTACTTTAACAGTCAAATTAATAAGATTAACATTTTGTAATTTTGGATCGTTTGCAAATTTATTAAGCTTTCCTAAAGTTGTATACGTAATGTTACTAACAGTTTTGACAAAATCCATATAATAATCATAATTGGGATCTGATGAGTTAATACCCCATTTTCTACAAAATAAAATTAAAATGAAAAGAACAGCAAAGAGAAAGTTACTCTTGTATGTATTGATTAGCTTTTTTCTTGTCGGTTTTATCGACAAAACATCCTGTAACAGCAGGAAATGGATTAAGCCAATTTCTGAAATCTTTCTGAATTGAAACTACTGTCGGATTTGCCAAATAACGCATCCAGTTTGAATATGTGATAGCAATGGCTCCACCGGCTGCCATTGCTACGACCACAACCCAAAATATCCTACAAAAAAATAAAATTTTCCAAAAATTGTTAACTAGGTACCGTTCTAAGAAATGCAATTTTGGAATTCCGATAATGTGCAAACCATGAATAGTGGTTTGTTTTGCAAAGTTTTGTATTAAATTAAACAGTTTAGTCTTCATTTTGGAAAATCTAAAATAGTAATGGACTCAAATGATGAAAAACATTCAGCGGTTTTATATGAAAATGGATCTTTTGTACATTAATGGTTTGTTGATGTAATCACTGATTTTAACGATAATGATTGTGACACATATCCTTCACTTATCATATCAATAAGAATGCCTGATGAACGATATAAAATATCTTATCACAAAGATACGAATTTTTTGATTAGTTTGGTAAATTTTGTGAAATGTGATTTGTGTCTTCAAAATGGAGTTTATTCTTGAACAAAGCCAAATTCGTGAAGATTACAAAGTGAAATCAAAAACATCACCAGTGATAGTAGTGTGGCGCAAGAAACCCACCAAAGGTCTTCTTACTCTGTTCATTTTTGCCGTTGTAGTCCCAGTCCTTGTTTATTTTTTTGTATTTGATAAAGGAACATTTCCTGTCGAGGAACCAAACACTTGCTCTGTTGGCACAACATATAGGATAACATGTGGTAGAACGGATATAAATGCAACTTATGCTTATTGCACCAATATCAAATGTTGTTTTGATAACTCAACAAGACTCTGTTATCACTATTTACCATCAAAATATTATTACTACAATAAAGGCAATTTTGAAACGTATGAAAGAAGTTTAGAAAAGTCGCCTTTTGGACAAGATTTAACCAAAGAAATTTCACTAACAATCAACGAAATTGATGAAAATAGCGTACAAATTATTTTACACGATTTCAATGTAACAGTAGACTCAAATACAGTTCCTGATAAAAATTACAAAGTCAATATAAGTAAAGATCCCTTGTATGTGGAAATTGCAAGAAAGAATTCTGAAGATATTCTTTTAACAACAGCAGATGGTCCTTTGATAGTATCAGAAAATTTCAGGGAATGGTCCTTCCAACTTACAGATCAGTACTTATTTGGATTGGGTCAAGTCCTAATTGATTTGGACGAAAATTCAACTCTTACTAAAGTCATTTATGCCAACAACAATGACCATAATACTTTGCCAGTGTTCATGGCTTATAAAAATGGACTCTATCATGGGTTGGTTGTACGACATAGTGGCCTTCTAGAAATTACAGTTTTACCATCAAAATTAGTCAGTTTGAAAAGTTTAGAGAGGGAAAAAATTATCTTGGAGTTAAGTGTAGGGCCAACACCACACGATGTGATAACGCAGCAGAAGAAAGGAAAATGGGGGACAATTGATATGAAAACACTTGGAGTCCACATTTGCCGGTATTTAGTTTGTATTTTTGACTCAATTTTAAGAGAATTTTTAGGGAAGGAAGTGCCTCAACTCTTAAAGACATTCTAAGTGATTATACTCAAGAGAAAAGTATTGATTTTCCTTATGAGTCTGATTGTTTCCATGATAACTTACTTATGGCATTGAGAAAAGAAAAGTCGGAACAAAATATCAATACTGTGCTTGAAAAAATTAAAGGTTTTACAGATAATGGACACAGTTTTATGCTTTCGGTGTCCCCGCATGTATGTTTTTCTAACATTTTAATGTTTGTTCTTAAAGTAATATTGTAGATACTTTTTGGTAGTGCACTTTACGATAATGGTACAGAATTAGGTATTTTTTACAAGAGTGATAATAAAACTTACAAAGGGCAGTATCTTAAAAACACTGTCGTATTTCCGTATTTTAAACACAATTCTATTGATTTGTTTATGCAAATATTGGTTGAAGAATTGAAAGGATATTTTAAAGACATGTTTCCGAGTGATTTTGTGTTGAAAAGCAATTGGCCAAGAGACGATTCTTTCGAATTTGACGATTACGAAAATTTCCGATTTTTTTCACAAGTATTCCAAACACACTAAAGTTTTAATTTATTAATTTCTTGATTGTAGGAAATAATTGACGCCATGTCTTATACTCTTCCTTGGGACGTTTACAGTGGAAGCCAATTACAAATGTTGGACCATAACGACTATGGTGCTCTTCAAATTCAAAAATTTTTGAGTGTTTTATCAAACAGTTCACTTATGACTGCGTCACACAATTTTGAAACAACCCATCCACTCATAATCCAGAACGTGGCTATTTCTTGGGTTAATTTCAAAAAGGCTATTTCCCAAATTTTGTATAATAGCATTGCTGGTAATCCAATGACTAGCATTCCGATTTGTGGATCGACTGGTAATTTTGATGTTTCCACACATGAGGCTTTATGTACCAGATGGTACCTCATGGGTACCACTGCACCCATTTTCCGCATTTCGTCCGATATGCCAAGACGTGATCCGACTTCTTTGGGTTCTGGTGCATTTGGACAAGCAGCTCGAAGAGCTATTGAAATTAGATATAGTCTGCTTTATTATTATTACACGGTTCTAAATCAAGATAAAGAGCCTTTGATGAGGCCAATGTTTTACGACTTTACTTCCGATAACGACACTTTTTCTCTGATTGATCAATACATGGTAGGAAAGCATTTGTTGGTAGCACATCCAACCTTGCCTGACCGAACACAGATTACGCTTTATTTACCCAAATCGGTCAATGTTTGGTATGAGTTTTGGGGAGGCGAAGCTTATGGCTCTTCTAGAAACAAGTCTTGGATTACTTTAACTTTAGTTGATACTGATTTGGTTGCGTTTGTGAGGGAAGGAGGGATTATTCCATGGACTACTGATGATAACGTAAGTGTTATCAAAATTTGTAAATTTTTTCAAAACTGGTTTTAGGAAACAAAAATTGTGCAACTTAAAGTGGCCTTGAAATGTGATAATAATAACAACTGTGATGCTGAAGGTGCAATGATGGTAGGTTTGGGGCTCTTGACATTTCAATCGACTGAAAAAAAATTGACCGTGGTGAAAAGTGGAGACATTGGAAGCGATAAGAAATTCATCTTAAATGAAATTATCCTGTTTCAATCGGGCTCTAGTACAAGATATTTTGATTTTACAGAAGGAAAGAATTTAAACGAAATTAGTGATACGTGGACCTACATCTACGACGAAAATTTAATTTAATAACAAACCATTTTTTTATTAAAAATTCATTACAAAAATTTTTCTAATGTCCTCCCTGTTCTCCAAAAATTTTTATTATTTCATCATTATGCGGATTGACAGGTCCTAAAACAGGAAGCTCCTCCAAGAAATTCCAAACTGTTTCAGTCAACAAAATTTGGGCTTTCTGGAAAGACATATTTACCTAAAATTTTTGTATGGTTTAAAAACGTTTTTACTTGATTTGGATGTAGACTATCCACGGGTTCAAGAAATTCCGTTATGTTAATTTTCCCATGGCGTACTAAATAATTAATTGGATTTTGAATATAATGGACTTGAAAATTTTTAAACGTTTCGTTTGTCGCTATACATTTTAAAATTGTTGATAGTTTCCTTGCCCTCTGAAAAAAAATCAGTTTACGTGAATTTTATTCAATTTAACTCACTTTACTGGTGATGTTTCGAAGTGTTTGGTTTGCGTTCAACCATCCTGTACAGGGTCCAATTTGCATACAGTTGAACCACTCGTACAAATTTTTGTAAAATACATTTTTGTGCAATCGTCCTAAAAACACTAGATAAATGTTTATTTTTTTTCGGTTTATTCGTTACCAATTGGGTGTAATCTTTCAGCCATTGCGGGGAAAATAAAATCAGCTTCTACCAATTCTACAAGAATTACGTGACTTTGCGACGGTAACTTTTCGTCTAGTAAAAACAAAGTTTTCATAATATTTCGTCTAAACGTTTCTGGAGGCGTCATGTGATTTATCGTGTCATTAAAACTGGAAATAAATTTAAGTTTTTCATTTAATTTTAGAATCACAAATTTACTTATTGCAAACATCATTTCCTTGCATGGCGTAGATGACTAAAGCTGGATTATCTGTCGACTGATTTCTCGCAATTGAACTTACATGATTAAGTCCTTCGTAACTGGAAGCACCGTTTTGAGACAAATTTTGGTAATCTCGATGATTACATCTGTTACGATTTCGGAGTCGCAAATAAAGTGAATCAGTTAAACCTTGAATCAAAATATTTTTCGTGATGTTCTTAAAACCGGTGGCAAACCCAAATTGGGGCCAATCGATCTCGTCTAAAATTACACTACTACCATTTAAACCCGGCTTAAAATGTTCAAAAATTATATTATAATAAGAAACAATATAAAATATTACCCAACTGAATAAAAGTGGGTTAATCCAAACTTCAGGCATATGGAAATGAGCTCCAATAGAGTCACCAATGAAGATCAAACCTCTAGGTTGCGATTTTTTACAAAGTTGTTGCTCCAGAGACAGAAAACTGTCATTTTTGATGCCCCAAATGCCGTTACAATTACCTATTTCTCAATTGTATATTTTACAAATAATGTGATTAAAAGTTACCTACTGTCGGAGAAATAATCTGAATTTAAAGGCCGACGTCCGGGGTACACTTGTGGGTCATTGTCGATACAATCTCGCCCTCTCCAATCCGAACCTCTAAAAGAAAATAAAAAAATAAAAATTAAATTAAAAAAAATCAAAATTACCTTCCAGTTTCCATCGCACTGAAACCATCATTATCAAAGTCCTCAACTGGAGCTAAGGACGTGTAGGAGTTGTTTAAAATATTACAAATATCTTTGATATATGGAAGTTTGCAAAAGTCAATTTTTGGAAGCATCCGTATCTCTTCCTAAAGTCATGACATTTAAATAAAATGCAACAAAATATGGACTTTTACATTTTTCAAAACACTTTCTATTTTCTCTCGCTCATCGGTTAAGGGAAATAAGTGACATAACTGCTGTCCCTTGTCTACTTTACAAGTCCCATAAACCAGACAGAATAAATCTGGAGTAATTTTTTCTGACAGATTACTACAAAAATTAATTTAAACTCTGATTCTCAATTTTGGTTAGTTTACGTCAAGTAAGGTTCCACTTTATCCACAATTTTGAAACAAGGGTCTCGTACTTTATTCGGTAAAACATTACAAAGACGTTTCGTTGCATTAAACAAGTCTTCCTCATGCAGTTCTGCAATTTGCATAGTGACACCAGTTAAAACTGTGCAAACTGGAATAAATGATTTATTTTTGGAATTTAATATTTGGCTGACGTACCTGCACAACTCATGCCACCATTGATCCCCCTGGAATTTATAAAAGATGTACAAAACACCAAAAATAAAAATATTTGAAACGTTTTCATTGTGTGGGTTGTGTAGAAGTCGACAAGAAGACGCAAGCGCTGGCTTTGAATCGATTTCGCCGATTCGTAAATATTAACAGAGGAAATATTTAGATTTTACAATTTAGAATTATTAAACAGAAGTTGTTTTTTAGTAAGTAAAGGTGTCAAGGTAAAAGCAAATTAGTTCCAAGAATGATTTTTATTTATTATGTCAGAGTTAACAGCATTTTTGTTAAGTTTAACATGCTTGTTCAACTCTTGATCCTAAGACCGCAACTGTGACACTTTGATTCATGTAAAGTTCATGTAAGAGTATTTGGGATTTTGGTGCAAAGTTTGAGTTGAAATCCTCAGATGTGACAACTACTTGTATTACAAGACGTTAGTTTTTGATTTTTTTGTGGTAAAGTTGGAGTTTATCGACGTTTGGAAGTCGGATTTTGCCTACTGTTTCACAGAGGACGCTCCTGTGTACAATTAAAGGATTACCAAAAAAGAGCAAAACGCTGAAAGTTTAAATTTCAACTTTCTCAGAAAGAAGCCCAATTAGTTCCTTTTGTTACATCAAACCGATTTAACTGAGCTCGTGACGGAATTATTTCGTCATGAATAAGTAAATTCTAGACTCTATGAGTCAGTTAAATTTCCGATAAGAAGATAATGATTACAAAACAATATTTTTATTTTGTTATGAGTGGAGATACGCTTTGATTTCTATAAAATTCAAATATTTAACGATACATCATTAGCACCCATAAATAATTCAAATCTCGTTGCATCACAAACGGAGACATTTCTATTCAAATTTCTCTCATTTTTGACTGCGTTTCCGAAAATATTCGCTTTGTAACGAGTTTCATTTAATTTAATTGCCGAAACGACGTTGTTTCTGAATGGAAACCAATACGCCATCCCAGTAATTTATTCTTGGTTTAAATTCAAAGAGCGATTAAGCTGACGTATCGACTCATGAATAAATATCACGCGAAGTCTTCAGTTAGCCAATGATAGTAAGTTGCATCATTGCTGTCAAAATTAAGCAAACAAATAGTTTTAATAAATTAGTGAAGAAATAAATAAAACAAATTTGTTCACAAGTGATTTTTTTATTTATTGTAAATTAAAGCTATAATTTTAATAACAAAAACGGAATAGGTGAGGCAATTGGCCTAGACTAGACTACTTGTTTCTTCAAACAATATGTCATTTCTAATAACGTACATTTTGTTAATAAACATTGAAAAATTGCATCTATTACAATAAATAATGAGATGCAAATTATTTACATCGTTATTCTACCCACACCCGTAGCCTTCAACCGGCGTATTGATGAAGGAGTTTGTTCCATTCTTTGGGATAATTTTTTTGAACAAAGGCTAGAACTTTTTGAATTTGTTTCATTTCCTGTGGAGTGCATTGCGGACAAGATCCTCTCAAGACCAACGGAGCCAAACCTAAAACATTTGATGACTTTCTAGTGAAAGTTGCTCGTGCGCTAATTGTTTCGATCACGCATAAAAATAATAATTTTGCTTACTTTTCAAACGGCGTCCTACGGGATCACAAGGTGCTTCACCTGTGGCACATTTCAACTGCCTCAAAAGATACCTCCTGTCGTTGAGAGTGGATTCAATAGCAGCATCCGAAATCCGGGTCGTCTCCAGCTTCACACACGTGAAGATAACTGCGAGTAAACAAAACTAGACAGGAAAATGAGCAAACTGTTTGACTTCGACTTACTTGTAGAAGGCAATGCATCTCGAATGACCGACACCAAGAAAGTGTGAGTGAAAGTGTGTAAACACCGATACTAACCTCGAAGTACTCGTTATCAATTTATATACGGCCTCCTGTTGGGTTTTTCTCGCTTGATTTAGTTATATTTTGTTTTACTTTCACTGATACAATTACCAAAATCAACATCTTGACCTAAGACAACTAGCGACTTTCGTTTGGATGCGTCATTGGGGTTTTACGGGAATTGCCATGTTGAAATTTTATTCCGGAAGGTAAAAGCAACACGAGAAAATTCCTACGACTTGTGGACAAGCTGGTTGGTGTGGGATTCCTTAACTGTGACACTTTGAACAGAATCATGCAATTACATTTTGTACGTCAGAATATAACATGTCCCCAGTCACTAGGCACGTTTCAAGAATAATAAACAAGGGAAGAATTCTTTTGAGACAATAAGTGTGGCGCTTATTGTTTCGTATTCATGTGGTCGATGCTTGCCTGGAGCAGGTTCCTTTTTACTCTTTCTTATTTCCTTTTATTTCAGAATGTTTTCGAGCAAATTATAAGAGTGAAAAGTTTACTTTTATACGTACAGTTTGAGACAAAATACTTTGGTCGTCACTTTTCTGACACTTCAACTTCAACCTTTAACGTTAAAATGAATGACAATTTCAAATTAATGACAGCTATTATATTTTCCTATCAAAAATATGTACACTTGAGTGCAAAAAAACGCAAATTGTCAAAAACAAAATTGTCAAATTTTTCAGAGATTCACATAGTGTGAAATAGGTTGTTCCCAAATAGGTTAGAAAACTATCAAAAGAAATGTCTTATTTGGTGGTCTTGCCAGTGCAGTGTCATAGTCAGTGTTGAAAATGAAATGGAAAAACATGGAAAAACTTGATAGAAGTTTGGAAGATGTCTGACAATTATGAAATTGTGAATTGTGACAAAGACAACGTCAAAAAACTGGCACATATTAAGAGACCAAATTACATTATTAAAAAAAAACAATTTGCGTTTTTTTTGCACTCAAGTGTATGTACATACAACTTGACAGTAGCTAAAAGTAAGGTTAACAGAGTTTTAAAGCATGCTTTACCATTTAGTGTCACTCAAGTGACATTGACCAAAGTATTTTGTCTCCAACTGTACTCGTATGAAACAAAGTTAAATTTCATTTGTTCTAATAGCTTTTGGAGAAAATATATTGCAGTTGACTTGCTTTAAATAAATATTTTAGTACCAATCATATCATAATGCCATGATATTTTATTCATAAATTAAAATCATCTTTAAATGTTTAAAATGGAATGTTTTACGACTGTTACAATTTCTGAAATTTACAAACCAAAGATAAAGACATCGCCAATGACAACAATGCGATATGAAAAACGAGGAGAAGCCCATTTTGTTTTTTAGTTTTTTGACTGTGGTTCCAGCTTTCATTTATTATTTTATAATCAACAAAAAATCGTTTTTAACTAAAAAATAACAGTGTCTAATGTAATTGCAAAATATCAGTTATAATACCACGAGTAATCAAAAATTGTCGAATACTTTTATGAATGGTCATTGGTTTATAAACACCATGAGTGCATAGCACGAATGACATTTAACACCGTTTACAATACACTCATATCACCGTGAAAAAACACGTCATACCTACGTATACTTTAAAACATTAACCATTGTAAATACACTTTAGACGAAAATTACAAATTCATGAAAACTTTTTATTTAATTCTATAATTTTTATTATACATTAATAATAAAGATCCTAACAGATTTTCAAACGCAACCCAAAATACATTCTTACAGAGAACTTGGCTTTTGTTTTATTCCTTTATTTTTATTACTAAAAACTTACTTTTTTTTAACTTATTTTTGTTTACTTATACACTAGTAACTTATTACACTATTAACACTTTTGTAGATACATGTTTTAAAGTTCGCCCGCAATCCTTTTATTTACGCCAGTATTAACACATATTGAAAATTTGCGCTCTTATTCGCCCACCATTTTTTATTGCTAATCTGAACTTGTATTTGAATTTGAATTAATGAAAAATTACTGACTTGATCTAGGTTCGAATAACGGATCTACCTGCCGGAAAGCGAGACCTTATGCCGCCAATAGTCTTAATGTTTTAGCTCAATATATTCATGCAAATTTACACGAAATTAAAAAAAAATATTTGTTGCATTTTTGCTTTTTATTACTAGGTCCCTTGAACCCCCAAGAGTGCAAATGATTTAATTTTGAAATTTTTAATTTTTTTATTTTTGATTTTTATTGCTAATTACTTCGGAATTATTGACGCCAGATCTTTTTGTTTGGTACGGTTGGAAAGCAAATTTAATTTTTATTATACAAAAAACATAATTGTCCTACGTTATTTAATAGTTTTGCTGAAAAACTCAAGAATATCTAAAATATTAATTCAACTATAATTTCTAAACGATCAAAAATGTTAGACGCCAATCGAGTTTTCTGAACATCTTACACATGTATGCATAAAAACAATATAACGTGTGAGGTACTGTTTTGCCGTAATTTACTAAATAAAAAAGTAAAAATTTCTGAAGTCGTGATAACATCGAAAATAATTGTATACAAAATTCGAATATTTAATTTGGTTGTTAAATTACAATTTTAGTTTTATTACCACTACACTTTGTTAAAAGGAATGTTCAGCGACGCAGCAAACAACTCCCCCCCAACTTGCTGCACCACTGAACATTGCTCTAGTTCTACTGTAATTTTTAAATACGTTAAAACTTTTTTAATCTTTATTTGCTGCAAATTTAAAAAGCTTATTTTTATAATTATAAAAAAATCTGTTATCTTCGTATGGAGTCAGCAAAACTCATCACGCCTTATCGTTTACCGTCCTCTGTAAATAATTTACTTCCCCACAGAAATTTTTGAGTGAGTTGCTTTTGCCAATTTTTTTATTTTTATAGATTTTATGAATGTATGTAGATTGAATAATTTATTTTAATTTCTTTTGTCAAATTACGGAAACGAATATAAATTAATTTTTATGGTTTTTCAATTCTTATACAGGGTGTTTTACATAATTTTACAAGGCTCGTACCTGTAAGACGCAATCAGTAATAAATATTTCGATACGAACTCGATTACAAATTTTGAAAAATTGGATAATCTCTAATTTGTTCACCCTCTCAAAAATTACAACGTTTTTAGTTAGTGATTAATATAGATAAACTGGAATCATATTCATACCAAATGATAATTGTTTCTGAAAAACTGCAGTTTATGACGTGCAAGCCTCATAAATTTGTGTGAAACATCTGGTATATCTGTATTTACAAATAACCTACTAGTCGTCAAAACCGATTTTTGTAGCGTATATGGTGCGGAAAATGATTGAAAAAATTTTTTTGGTAATTACTTGAGTTGAGCTTTAAGTAAATCCATTTTGTCCTGAATAAACAGCTCTTCCTTGTAATAATTCCACCCCGTGTATGAATATTTTATTCGCTGACATTGTTTTATTACCTAATCCGGCTTTTTGGATTTCGCTTTTAGACTTTGGTGCGGCAATATTAACAAGGCAAATCTGTCGAAATTATGATGACTTTGCTAGTATTAGTGTCCACCGTCACAAAATCAACATCTCTAAGCGTCAGCTGAAAGTAATGAACACGAAGGACTGTGCTTTATAGCAGACAGCACTGAACCGACTGCTACATCTTAGACTCCAGTTTTAGCCGGAAGATATTTATGTGCATCGACCGGCGCGAAAACGGAATACGAATATCCTATTTAGAATACAGATAAATTTTGTATACATTAAATTAAATCATTCTAGTATTATGTTCTCCCTTTAGGGGCTTCCGGATTGTTAGAGCACTAATTTGCCTGATGTATCTCAATTTTACCAAAACAAATATCTACTGTCACTCAAAATTTTCAAAATTTGACAATGAATCTAAACAAAACTTTCAAGTTGTTGAAACCCACACACTGGTATTGGAGAAATGTGCCACGATCAAAAACGATTTCGGATTTTGAGATCCAACACAAAACTCCAAAATGTGTGAAAACAACTCCAATACCTTTAGCCCTGTATGGGGGTAACCATACAGTCACAATGATCCCCGGAAGTGGCATTGGCCCGGAACTAATGGAATTTGTTCGTCAAGTTTTTGAAGTCGCCAAAGCTCCGGTTCTTTTTGAAACGGTCACTATTGACGAAAACCGTCAAGACAACACCGATCTAGAATACGCTATTATTTCAATCAAACGGAACGGAGTTGCCATTAAAGGTAACGTAGACACATTAAGTGAAGATACCACTGTTAGACTAAGCAATGTGGCCATCCGAAACGAGTTAGATTTATTCGCCTATTTGATGCGTTGCAAGTCTTACCCTGGAGTAAAAGCAAAACACCAAAATGTGGATATTGTGGTCGTTCGCCAAAACACTGAAGGTGAATACTGCATGCTTGAACACAGCATTAAAGACGGAACAGTTGTTGAAAATTTGAAAATTATTACAGAGGAGAACTCACGACGAGTGGCCAAATACGCGTTCGACTATGCTCGCAAAAATGGACGAAAAAAAGTCACAACTGTACACAAAGCTAACATTATGAAACTTTCCGACGGACTATTTCTACAAACGGCAAGAAAGGTTGCAAAAGATTATCCAGACATTCAACATAATGATATAATTATCGATAATTGTTGTATGCAACTTGTGAGTAAGCCGCAACAGTTTGACGTCCTTTTAACACCAAATTTGTACGGAAATATTGTCGCTAATGTTATTTGTGGGATTACTGGAGGTCCTGGTCTTGTCTCTGGACGAAACTACGGGGCCCACTATGCTGTTTTTGAGCCAGGGACTAGAAACAGTGGTCGAGCTATCGCTAAGAAAAATATCGCAAATCCGGTCGCTATGTTAAACGCATCTGTTGATATGTTGCACCATTTGGGGCAATTGGAACACGCAAAAGTGATTGAAAATGCGATTTTAAAAGCTGTAACACAGGATCGAGTTCATACGCCTGATTTAGGAGGAAGTGCTAGCAGTGTTGAAGTTGTAACTAAAATTCTCGAATATATTTGATTAGGGTTTGTTTTGTGGAAGTTTGTCAATTTCTGATCATGTATTCAAGTCTGTGCTAATATTAAGCAGATTTTATTCCTTTAGGTTCGTGCTAAACGTGCACGGTTTGTATTATAGCAGTTTCGGAGTTGGCAAGTTATCTGAAACTGGCAAGTCCAAGTCGACACCTCTAATGGAATTATTTAACGGATTCGAATTGATTTTATCACTTTTCGACTCGTACAATGCCAGGAATTACAATTTATAGCAAATCTGTTGCATCTAACGTACGAAATTGTACCAATTTGAATTTTATTACAACGTACGGTATTATCAAACAGCAAATCTCAAACGTTCGATGTAAATATATAACCGAGAGAACGTTATTTGAATTTTCCTTATGATAACTGGTCGAAATCTCAATATTAAGCTTAAATAAGCGAGAAGAATAATATTTCTGGTGGTATTTGTGTGGTGGCAAAATATTTATTTTTCACTCGGTGAGGCAGAAACAATTACTCTGATTATAAAACCTATTTCGACAATCACAGATAGGATCCTTTCGGATGTAACTTTGAGTTGCAGAACTCAATTATATGAAAACAATAGACTTTCCCCAGCTGTGTAATTTCAGGATAGCAAATTTCACCATCAGAGAGAACGTTGGCGGCTGCTTAAAGTCAACAATGCCACCAATTCTAATTTAAATATACTTCTGTCGTATGTGAAATAACTACCATTGTTTGCTCTAGAACCGCAATACTCACTTTCCTTTAATCCTAAAAGCTTTGACACTTTGAAGGTTGTCACGAGGCCCACCATAATATGGCCTTCGATAAAATAAACTTTGTTTTATAATTAAAATCGAGACAGAGTAAATTAGTAAAGCGTGGAAAAAATAAGCAAAAAAAACTAAGCAATAAGCGCGCAACTTTTCAAGGATACTGTTTCATTTAATTTAAACAAATTGTTGAGTTGAGCTTTGCGGCGGTTTTCCAACTATATTGTCATTGTAGAGCAAACTTTCAGTACCTTCCATTTGAAAGAAAAATGACTTTAATTGTGAGGTAAGATTGATGATTATGGCTCTTCTGATTTATCGTATCTATTGTCCAGGAGCTCACAATGAGAGGAATGTAATATATACTTTTTTCCATTATGTGTGTATAATTATTGATTTTATGCACGTAAAATCGCTGAAAACTGTAAAATAAATAGAAGATAGAGACGTAATAATGACGGGTTGTGTACTGGGAACGCCTCTTCCAAATCTAATAAGTGCGGAGAGATTCGAACGTGAGGAGGTTTACCATTACCGATAAACGAAATTGTTTTCTTTTCAGCTGTCTCCCATTTATGTGATTTCGTCAAAAGTGTCAAATTTAATACTAAACTTTACGTGACCGAAAATTACCCAGTTATTTCGAACCAATCGTTAAATATAAATAAGTGTAAAAAAACAGTCATCTGAATGTAATTCCCAGTAGTGGAGGCGGATAAAGTACAGGATTTTATTGTAAGAGCGAGTAGACGTTTTTTTCCTGGAATATGACTCTCCAAGGACCAGGTTTGACGCTTGCCAACAACTTATCTTGAGGTTGTTCCGATTACCGAAAAAATTACTCAGATAATACAAATAAACTCGAACAAAAGAAGAACTCTCTTAAGTATTTTTCGTCATTAAACAACTTGAAACAAAGAGAAATTGGCACGCAAACTTTCGGATTCCACGATAAACTAGATTTTTTTCAAAGTTTAACTGATTCGATGAGGGGAGGCGTTGCTTTATTTATGACATAATTTATTGTACGGTCTTTTAATCAAACCCCTCGAGAACTGCCGAACAAGACCTTTCCTTAAACTAAGGGTGTGCGAAATTCATCCCGGCCCTCCGATAAATCTTCTTGGAAATCTGCATGGCTTGGTATGCAACAAATAACGAATTGTAATAAGGCGGCCATATTAAAAAAACAAACATAAAATTTATACCGATGTTTAAGATTTATTGTGTAACCGGGAACTGGAAAAATAAAGGCCAATCTACGTAATGCACAAAGCGGGAAAAGCACCGATCTGGTGTATAAATAGGGTGAATGTAACACTTGTTACATTCTCACTACTATACGTTTAAGCGGACCTGGTGCAGGTTAAATAATTAACCGGCAGATAGCTCTGCCATTACTGTAGGTTGGCAAGATTTATCGCAAAATAATTGGTAGATCCAAAAAACAACATAATATTATCCTTTGTTGTTCGTCAGTAGAAAAAGCTAAACTCGTTCCCAAAGAACCAAGTTGCCACCTTAGATAAGTACCTACTTTCAATATTTTTATCAAATTAAAAAAAGATTTTCAAAAACAAATTAATAGTCTGTTATTATTCAAGAACGTAGGCTTTTTCGGCCAGAGTCAGGTTGAAATTTGGGTCCTTTTGGGTTAGACCGCGTCAATTTAGAAGAAAAAATCGACATTTTGCCCGCTCTTCTAAGGGGCATCTTCAAGGCTTTTTTCTTGTCCTGAAGATGCCCTTTACAATAGAGGGCAAAACTTCGATTTTTTCTTCTAAATTGACGCGGTCTAACACAAAAAGACCCAGATTTCAGTCTGTAATAATTGTTTAATCTAATAATGTGAATGCTTATTCGAATGCACTCAACGCACACTTGTAAAGAATTCTGAACTTTTTTTACATATATTTTTTTTGATTATTATCTTTATTCTAAAAACTAAAATTTTTATTTTCAAAAATTGGGGATGACTTTTTTTAACAACCCCTTTAGTGATACCTACCGAAAAAATTGAGGATAATTCCATATTGGTCAGCTTTTATACCCACAACATACAAAAATCATAGGAATGGTGGAACATAGGGAAGTAACAGTTATACAGAGAATATACGATAACGATAATAACACTGCTACAGTTAGCCAAGTCTAATTTTTTTTGAAGTTTTAGGTAAAATAAAATGTGTTACAAGGTACGTAACGTTATCAGGTTTTACATTACTTGGGACTTTTGAAAGCGAAGGGCGATAGCCCTTCAAAGATTGGCTCGTAATATAAAAACCTTAATAAGTTTACTTATTACGTAAACTACTTTACCGAGTTAATTAAAAATACGGAACCATTATTTTTAATTATTTTTGCAAAATAATTAGTGCAGTTTAAAGTGCTATTCAAATATGATCGTTTTTCGGGAATAACATTTTTCGATTTTTTTCTTAGTTTTCTAGTTTTACAAAAAAAAAATTTTAAATGACGACCTTTAAAGACATTTTTTTTAAATTAAAGATTATGATCTAAAAATGAGTTTCAATTAAAAAAACTACTGGTTAAAAATCAGTTTTATTAGAGGTCAGTTTTAGTATATAATCTTTATGTAAAAAAATTGTCATAGTAGATTGCCATTTCCATTGCCAGGATTAAAAAAAAAAATTCTTGAAAAAGGATCACATTTTTATAGTACTGCACTAATAATTTTTTTGGAAAGTTATTACTTTATGTAAAAAACGTTTTGTCCCATGCTTTTTACTCACTCGGTATAGTAACTTACGTAATAAGTAAACGTTATTAAGATTTTTATATTGCGGACGAATCTTTAAAAAACAAGGGACTAACTATAGCCCTTCGCCTTTAAAATTCCCAAGTAATGTAAAACCTTGTAACATGTTTTATTTTACATAAAACAACAAAAAATGCATAAAATAAACGTGGCCAACTGTAACAGTGTTGCTATCATTATCATTATCGTATATTTTCTGTATAACTTCCCTATGTTTCTTGAGAGATCAATCAAGACAAGTAATATAAGAAGCCAATCACGTTCTACATAAAATAGTGACACTAGTTGATTTTATTTTTTTTACCTATGTTCCACCATTCTTATGATTTTTGTACCTTGTGGGTTTAAAAGCCGACCAATAGGAAATTATCCTCATCTTTTTCAAGGGGTTGTTGAAAAAAAGTCACTCCCAATTAAAAAAAAAAAAATTCGGGTTTTTAGAATAAAGATAAAAATCAAAGAAAAATATATGTAATAAAGTTTAAAATTCTCTACAAGTGTGCGTTATTAGTTATTGAGAAAAAAATATTAATTTAAGGATTGCTACCCCTCTATTTCAGTTATTGGAGGGGTTGGTAATATGAATTTTTTCCTAAGACTACTTTATTCCAAGAGGATCATATCGTTGACATATCTACGAAAATAGACGCTGGGGTACTTAGCCCATGCATATATGGCTAGACCCTTTCAGATTAATTGTTTAAAATTATTATCAAGACATGTGATAGTAAACCAAAAAGTAGGTATTAAGTACTTCTGGGCAAATTTTTATATGTTTATTTTCTTTATTATGTTAGCGGGCTTGCGGAAGCGGAAAGATGAGTTGAAAGAGTTGAAAAACTGAATTTTAATTTTTGCTTTTTTGCACAGAACGATTAGATTAGAGGAGGCTCATACATCTGGCCACATTGCTCTTCCTGCCGGCTTAGTCAAATTTACCCTCGAGGCAACATCTGCGTTAGCATAGTCGCATTTACCTCCTGTTACCTCTTCCACTTGTACATTAATAATGTCGCAAAATTTAGACGAGCCTAATGGTAGATTTGAGGTGAAAATTGAAAGTGGCATGCCAAATGTAAAGCTTAGTTTAGTGGAGCAGTAAACAAGAAGACCGCAAGCCGCGCTTTATTGTTTCCTGGTGTCCCGCAAAGCACCGACCGGAAACCTGGCTGTTTTCATAATGCATGAGATGTGCAAACCGTGAAATTTTTTATTTACACTTACCTATCGGAGTTTGCAAATTTGTAATTGGGTCAAAAAGCACATTTTTGTTTGGACGAAGAGAAATGCGAAGAGTTTATAGTTGTTGATATAATAAATGAAGCGACATCTGGAGTATCAGATGGAGGAAAATGGATGCGAGTGCAAAATTTCGTTTATGTTTGAGTGTGGGAAAGACCACATGACTCAAACTGACAGTTGTAGTGCTCTTTTGCTGTCGAAAAGAACAGAGCTTTGTCATTTCTACCGTGAAC